ACGTGTCGTGTAAACATAGTTTACACGTCAAATAACGTGTAGTAACCAACCTTGACAATGTTTCCGTGCGTGTAACAAAAATTTATTACCAATTAATAATTTACTTACATTTGTTAACAAGAGGACTGCAAATCACACTTTACAATGTCAAAGTGCTTTTCCAACGTTATTAATTTCTTCGCAAATTTCTTGGATAAATATTAAGATAATCATTTTCACACTTAAATATCAGAAGAATATATTTCTTAATTTACGTCCCAGCAGTACCCTACCCTCCTTCATTTGTCTTAGGAAGTACATATAATATTTGCCCCAAGTAGCTTTGTTCGACCCCTGCATTGGCCGAGAACGTTTATCGGGATTTACCGACGTGGTTTCCCCTTGCGGATGGTGCAGGACGGAGGACCTGACAAGTACAGCTGTCTAGTCGTTCGGATGGGACGAAAAACAGAGGACGGTGTACATATTGGCGTGCACGTAAAAGATTCCTTGGCAGTTGGAATTTGATATAAGATTAGGCCATTAGCCCAGTTGGAGCAGAACGGTAGGACGTTAAATCCTATTTCATTTCATTTCCTGTAGCTTTGTAAAAAAAACCCCAGCGGCTGCCAGGCAGGATACGCCCACATTTTACAAGAGATGGATAGAGAACAAACTAAAAACAAAAACGAGTTTTTGTACAATCAGGGGCCATAATCCAGAAAGTTATGGTCTTAAATGCGCAAATATCAAAAGGGACTGGGATTTTTGGAATATAAAGATATGTTTTAAGTTTCATCAAAATCGGATAACAATTATTGTGACCTCTAAAGGGTCCATAACCTTTGTATTACATACTTATACACAATTTGCGTACAAAGAGCGGCGATTTTGTCGGGCAGTTTCATTTCGATTTTCCAGAAATTCGAATTCAACCTTCATTCCGTAAGAATGGTGATTTATCTAAACGGTTTTTAAAATCGGAAAAAAAATTATGACCTCTAGAGAAACCCTATAGCTAAAAATGCGATTTTTCGACCAATCAGGGGCCATAATCCAGGAAGTTATGTTCGGATGTGTGTGATTATCAAAAGGAACCAAGATAAAAACATATATTTAAAGTCTCAACCAAATCGGATAAAAACTGTGGCCTCTAGAGGGTCCACAACCTTGATATACCATATTTTTACACATTTGTGTATAAGGGGCGGCTATTAGTCCGATTTTCACAGATAAAATTGTGACCTCTATGGGGATCACAAGCTCAAAACGCGATTTTTCGTACAATCAAGGGCCATAATTCAGGAAGTTACGATTCGATATGCGGGAATATCGAAAGAAACCAAGATCTTTGGGTTATAAACATGCATTTCAAGTGTCATCAAAATCGGATGAAAATTATGACCTCTAGGAGGTCCACATCGTTGATATACCAGATGTTTACACTATTTGCGTACAAGGGGCGGCCATTTTGTCTGACAGTTTTGGTCCAATTTTCACGAAATTCGAATTCAACCATTATTAGGGTGTAACGGTGATATACTAAAACGGTTTTTAAATCCGATAAAAATTGTGACCTCTAGGATCCGATATGCACCAATATCGAAAGGAACCAAGATCTTTGGGTTATAAACATCCATGTCAAGTTCCATTAAAATCGGATCAAAATTGTGACCTCTAGTGTGTCCACAGGCTAAAAACGTGATTTTTCGTACAGTCAGGGGCCATAATCCACGAAGTTATGGTCCGATACATGCCAATATCAAACGGAGCCAAGATCTTTGGGAGATAGACCTACATTTCAAGTTTCGTCCAAATCGGATAAAAATTGTGACCTGTAGAGTGTCCACAAACAAATTGTGGGCGGACGGACAGGGGCGACGACAGTATGTGTCCACATGAAAACGTGGGCATATAAAAATGAATAAAACTGTTCCCGTCATAATATAACTAACTGCCAGACCGTGGATAAAAACTAGTCAGGCGAATGAATTAAACGCCGCGCATAATTTATCATAACAAGTAATTTTCACAAAGATAGAGGAGTGTTACCGTTTATTTTTTATTTTTTTCTTGTCCTTGGCAGCTGCGAAGTCCCCGGTTATCCATTTCCAGGGAATCGGCCGTTCCGGACATGACTTATTCACCCTTCTTTCTTCTGGGCAGTTCGTTTTTGACCGGTGTCACCTGGAAATTACTGAGTTGTTCTGTTCTGGTACCTTTTTTGAAAGTCCATTTTAACATTTATTTTGATTAGACACCGTTTGGGGGTACGCAGAAAATTATAAAATAGAGAATCCGTTTACGGCCATTTTGTCACTTCTGTAAGAGACAGATAGAATACATGTATTACCGTGTAAAGAAACCTTGGCAGTTAGAATTCGATATAAGAGTATTGTACTGTCCAATTAAAATTTAGCTCATAGCACACTGCACCGTGTATATGCCCGTCTTCATTAGCCCAGTCGGTGCAGAAAAATAGACGTTAAACTCCATTTCATTTCATTACTTTGATGTTACCAATAATTTATAGTGTAAATATATCATTACTCAAAACAATGCTAAATGTCAGTTAACATATTAGAGACCCGATAAAGACTGAAAAAATGTGTTTGAAATGGCAGAATAATGAATAAAAATATAATTTAGGGCCGTATACACAATCAAAAGTTCTCCTACATGTATTTAAAAAACCAAAAAACATTTTGGGACAAAATTCATTTAAATTGGCGTAACTGGCTCACACGATGCGACAACTTAAGCGACGAGTTTGGCAACAAATATCGCCGCGCAGGAATGAACACAATACACAACGACTTTGGCGATCACAAAAAAACCCTGTCACGTGCTTCGTCATGTGCGCCTCTAAATGCATTTTAGCAAGTATATTTTATTGCATAAAAACGCCCACGTAGTCATCGCATTGAATACTTCAATTAATATTGTTTTGTGCATGCATGATGAGCAGCCGGCGACTTAATCGTCTCAGTACAACGGTCGAGTACAGTGCGTTATTTCAAAGAGAGAGAGAGAAATGGGGTTTAACGTCCACTCGACACAAACTAGGTCATTTCGGGACTAACACATGGTGTAATTTTATTTCAATAATTCGCTTGCGCGTAGGGGTCTTTAGCAGTGGGAGGAAACCGGAGGACCCGGAGAAAACCCACGAGGTTGGACAGGCGACCCTACTCCTTGTCGCGTACAACCGGGGATTCGAAACCACGCCAGTTGACTCAATGACAGACTTTATGGTACAGCGCGCACGTGCTAACCATTCAGCCACTCAACCCCCCTTATAGTATTTTAAGTAACGAGCTGTCCCTTGTATGTATAGAAAACAGGCTACGTGAGGATGAGTCCAGAAATGTTCCAGAGAATCCTAAATATAATTAATCCTCTCATTACCAAACAAACAACCAAAATGAGAGCGATTGTCTATCACCATCCGTTTTCTCGCAAGAGGTACTGGAGAAAAAACAACCGCCCCTTCTAATTAGCATCTATCAATCCTAGGACTATATTATTATTATTTGGTATATTGCTAGATAAACGGAACAATCCACTGGGCCTACATGTATTCGACAGCTCACACATTTAATAAGTGCCAGAATTGCAAACTAAAATTTCAATCAACTAGATTACCCGACCTCTTATATTATGCAACAGAAACAGATTCCGAGAAAACCTTGTGTGTGGTTATGTTACATGAGAGAAATAACCAAAAATGATTTGTTTAATTTATTTCCTTGGTTGTCGCCGAGGTGAGCACATTACACGATTTGTTACCGACAAAGCCACGACTTGGGCGATCATATCAAACAGGTCTGATATCGCTGGTCGCTGGCGACGAAAAAGCGCTAGTTTTTTGGGGGGGTTTTTTGGGTTTTTTTTTTGGGGGGGGGGGGGGTCATCGTAGTGTAGAATGCGCCAGGCTGTGGTCATTTAATGTTTAGACAAGTGTCTAATTAAATTAAATTTACGTCGTCATCTTTATTTATATTTATGTTAAATTACGTAATACTAATTCTGCTAATCGCTTTTGTAGAAAACAACTCCATTATTCATGAAGGTGTTTTATACTATTTTTTTTCAGGTCTTTTTGGGAAATAATGCTTTAAATACACAAAAAGTATATACATTTATTTTATGATCAGTAGTGGAATACCGCGTTTTATCAGTGAAATAAACGTGTTATTCCACTGGCTAGCAGTAGTTCATGTTGTTTTTACCTAAAATGATTGTAAAATCATAAAATAAATAGAACATTTGTCGTTTTGTCGTGAATAACATATTTTATTTCATCTCGAAGCAAGAAAACGTTTATATTTCCACTCATGCTTCTCGATGAAATAAAATATGTTATTCACTCTAAAACGACAAATATCCTCTATGTACTTTATAGGGTACCTGAATAACAAAAAAAATCTTATTCAACCCCAAATCATCTATTCTTTTTTCATTGATCACAACCAATTATTGTTTGTACAGAAGTAAAATATTTTATATTTAACGTATAAAATATCTTACGCCCATACCAAAAATATAAATAAAATACCCAATTTGATGTAAAGCAGTATTTTTTCCCAAGTATATTCTTGAGTTGTTTTTAATTGTTTAATTCTCTTTCTTCGAATTGATGTGTTTGTTTTTTTGGGTTTTTTTTTGTTTAGGTCTTTTTGTTGTTGTTTTCTTGCTTGGGAGGGGGGAATTTTAGAAGATCAAAATTCGGAACGATGTTCCCTTTCATTGCAATATTGAAAATTATATTGCTTGGTAAATTCGATAAAACAAATCTATCAAAAATGAATATATTAGTGACAACCACATGTCGCTATGACACGCCATATTAGAGATAGTCTTCAATCCATTACATGTACACGCAATGATTTTTTAATGATTCACGTCTGCTAGATACAATAATTCAACACCACGTTGAAATGTAAAATGCCACATCACGGAATTTATTAGATTATTATTTCGTCTTTTAAATAAAATGTGTGAGTCTATGTTGGATTTAGAAGCGGTCGATTTCTTGTGTTTGTCGATTTCTGGCAGTTGACAAGGCGCTCATTGGCTGCTCAATCAGTTGCTTCGTGGCACTGAAGTTTCTTTAAAAGATGTAATGTTCTAATTCTCGTCCTTCAAGTTACTGAGCTTACAGCGATAACATACAGGTACAGTGTACAATTATAGTTGTTTTCAGTATGCAAGGAAACTTTTTGTCTCTTCATTCAATTAGTCGGATCATTTGTTCCTTCAAATTATGCCGTAAAAGAATGTATTTTTGTAAAAAAAAATATGAAAATCAAGACTTTGGCATATATATTTTTAGGTGTGTTCTGGCAACTTTAAGAATATATTTTACTATATTTTTATCGTTTTATTTTTCAGGATGACTCTCTTATTTGTGACTCTCGCTGCTTCTATTCTGGCCCTTGGAAATTGCGGAAATTTCACTATCACACAAGAGGCTTCAGTTAGTATTGAAATTAAAAACTTTGATGGCGAAGGAGAAGATTTCAGAGGTAAATTCACAATAGGTCTTTTTGGAGACTCAGTACCAATGACAGCACTTAACTTCGCTGGAATTTGCAAAGGATTCAAGAGAGGAAACAAAGGGGTAAGAAATTAATTAATGATAAAATTTTAATACAATTTTGTTTTCGAATAAAATAAATAACACAGAAATACTATATTTCAATTAATTGACGTTTTTGGGGGCTGTTTTTTGTTTTCTTCTTTTTTTTCGTGTTAGAAACGATACTTCCCGTAACAAATTATTTAATTAAACTCTGCTGAATTTGGAGTAAGCTATGTCCTATTAAACTGTTGGAATAAAGAGAGAGAAAATTATAAATGTGAAAAAAATTATACTTTAATAGAAAAGAACAAAAATAATCGTCAGCTATGTGAACTTTCCAAATTAATGAGAAAGGGATATTGGGTCTAAAAACGAAAAGGGATCTCTGGCATGTATTATACAAAACATAGAAATTTAGGAAATGTTCTAATGATCCCGTACTTAAGTTTATTATTACTTTCACAATAACGAAGACACTTAAAATCAATAAATTGTGCAAACGTGTAAAATGGGTAAAGGTCTATTATTAAGAGAAATATGTGACGTATAACATATCAATTTGAAAGCAGACGACAGATTGTGTGCCGACAAATCAATAAACTTTATAATATCATTATCAATACATTAAGATTTTGTCCCTCTTTAGTTACACGTTCAAATTTACACGTTGACATTTTGTTAAAACTGTATTAAAGAGAAACGACACTATAGGTCCTAATCATTATCATTTTAGGAAATTGAACACCATGTTTAAATAGAAAATTTATTTATTTATTTATTTATTTCAGCCTAAACTTCATTACAAAAACACCTTCTGTCACCGAGTGGTAAAAGACATGTTGGTCCAATGTGGTGACGTCACCATTGGTGATGGATCTGGCAGTAAGTATTTGTGTAACAATACATTTATTGTAATATTCCCCAGGGAATATTTTTACCCTTCACGGAGATTTATTGAAAACTCAAAAGGAATCTGAATTACATGATTAGACCAGTTATATGTTTATAATAACACCACTAATCCACAGTTTTTGTGATTGACGACATTAATCCCTTACTACAGAACAAATTGTTTATTGCCATTTCCTAATAGCGATATCGTTATTTTATATACAATTATATACAACCCTTTAATTTGAAACAAATAAATAAAGATGACAGTCATTACCCTGGCAATAATTTTACTGCTCAAGTGGCATTAATGTTTTGGTTTCGGATACGTTATGGCTTGCAATGACTTTAATTCATCTTCTCGATATTTATATATTTTCTTTAAATTCCAGGTAAATCAATCTTCGGAGATAAATTCAATGACGAAAACTTCATCATCAGCCACAGCAGTGCTGGTATTATTTCTATGGCTAATCATGGACAAGATACTAACGGATCACAATTCTTCCTCCTCTTCACTAGAGCTCGATACCTCGACAACAAACACGTCGCTTTCGGCAAAGTTGTTAAAGGATACGTAAGTGCTTTCCTTCATATTAAATCATTATCGAAATTGGGTTGGAGATTGTTTGTTTGTTTGTTTATTTTTAAAGGGATTTCCAATCTTAAATACAACCAATTAAAATCACTAATTGGCATCATTTTCGCAAAACGCCTTATTTACCAAATGTTGTGTTGTTCTCTTGAGCCCTAATAATAGATTAAATTATCAGAATAACTTCGACATTCTTGGGAACTTTTCTCGGCGACAACGGGATCGAACCCCGGATCACCTGGTTAATGAGCTAGCTCATTGAGCCACCGTGACTCCATTATTTACTAGAAGATGTTTATAATGGAAGCTATGACATATGTTTAGAGATATTTTTATGTAACGAAATATGTTTGATTTTTAATCACCGTCTTTATTTTCTCAATTTCAGGATGTAGTAGAAGCTATCAACGATTTAGGTTCAGAAAAAGACGGTTTAACACCACGACGACCCATCAAAATCACCGACTGTGTTCTTGAAGAAGTTGAAAAATACGATCTATCTAGAAAACAAATGTTTACTGATGATTTAGAAAAATAAACAGTTTATTTAATTTGTGAATTTTCTACCATCATAGTTCATTTCTGCGTGTTATTTTGAATTGTTATGTAGTCGTGTATAAAATGTTCTACAGACTTGTTTCGTTCAATCTACATCATGTCTACGTGTTTTTTAGTATTGTATTTTCTGCATTAATTTGTATTTATTTAGCTCATCAACTAGTGAACTGATGTTTACGTGAATACCGCGGCCAAATCTACTTAATTCAACTGTCATAGTTGTTATTTTATCGCCATGTATGTAGTCAACTATGTAATATAGTGTGCCCCCCCGCCCCTTTTTCATGTAATTTTTCTTGTAGAAGACATCTTGTAAGGATATTGTAATAAACAACCATTGTAAAAAAAAAGCTCATCCTGTTTTCCTTTTTATATTGTTACACGGCCTATGTTTCCTCCGATGGGACTTGATTTAATTATACAGTTCCATCAGAAGCCGGGACCGCCTGATTAGTAAGCTAGTGCCATACCAACCGAACCACCGTGGTTCTATATTCTAGCGCGAATGTAAAAATGCACCGTATCTGTAATCGAGGGTTACAGATGTCCAGTACCGGATCGGGGGGGGGGGGGGGCAAAGTTGGACAAATGTCCTGGGCCCCCCACATTTAGGGGCCCCCACAATTGGGTCATACTAATATTTTATCCTGGACGGAGCCAACCAGTACCTGGGCTGAGGGGGCGAGGATTGGGACCCTGGGCAGTAAGGGATATTGGGGACCCCGGGACTGGTAGGTACCAACAGATTTTCGGGAGCCCAGAGATCGGTTAGGCCCTAAAATTAACTAAATTACATAACTTAGAGGTTCTACCAATCAATATTACCTAACCAGTTCCGGGGACCCCATCTCGCGTTGTGATTTCTCGAAAAATCAGGGGCCATAATCCAGGAAGTTACAGTCGGATTTCAAAAGGAACCAAGATCTTAGTGTGTGATATATTCAAGGGCCATAATTCAGGAAGTTACGATCCGATATGCGCAAATATCGACATGAACCAAGATCAGTGTGATATAAACATGTATTTCAAGTTTCATCATAATTGGATCAAAATTGTGACCTCTAGAGGGTCCACAACCTTGATATACCAGATGGTTACAGTATTTGCGTACGAGGGGCGGCCATTTTGTCATACAGTTTTGGTCCGATTTTCACGAAATTCAAACTCAACCAACATTACGATGTGAAATGAAATAAAATGGGGTTTAACGTCCTACTGTTCTGCTCCTAAACCGGGCTAATGAAGACGGGCATACGCCATACAGAGTGCTATGAGGGAAATTTTGTCCGGGCAGCGGCGCTACGGCCTACTCTTATATCGAATTCCAACTGCCAAGGGATCTTTTACGTGCACGTCCATGTGTACACGGGACCTTGGTTTTTCGTTCCACCCGAACGACTAGACAGCTGTCCTTGTCAGGCCCTCCATCCTGCATCACTGACAAGGGGAAACCACGCCGGAAAATCTGAATGAACTTTCTCGGCCAATGCAGGGATCGAACCCCCGACCTCCAGACTATGGCGAGCCAGCGTCTTACCCACTTAGCCACGTGATCCCCACATTACGGTGTAACAGTGATATATTCGAACGTTTTTGTAAATCATATAATAATTGTGATCTCTAGAGGAACCACAAGCTAAAGGCGTGATTTTTCGTACAATCAGCGGACATAATTCAGGAAGCTACGATCCGATATGGGTAAACGTGATTTTTCGTACAATCAGGGGCCATAATCCATGAAGTTCCGAGCCGATACATGCCAAAATCGAAAGGAACCGAGATCTTTTGAAGATAAACCTATATTTAAAGGTTCCTCAAAATTGTGACCTGTAGAGTGTCCACAAACAAATTTTGGACGGACGAACGGACAGGGGCGACGACAATATACGTCCACATGAAAATATTGGCGTATAAAAACATCAAGTGGCCAGTCATTTCAAAGATTTCGTTACATGCAGCGCAAATTGCGTTTAGGATTAATTAAAATCGTATATAACCTATGTGCATTACAAAGTTTTCAGAATAGGCAAACGTATGTTTAACGTTCTGCACCACTGACAAGGAGTGCACATTGGAAAATCCCGGGTAATTTCTCTGTTAATACCGGGATCGAACCCCAGACACCATTGTCAGTAAGCCAGAACCCTTTTCATGGAGTCACCGTGAATCACAACACAGAAAACCAATCTTTCCGAGTTCTATTCCAAGAATTATTAAATCAAATGTTCAGACGTTCACAAACCATTATAAAAGAAGGGGGGGGGGGGGTAGGTTTGGTGGCTGAATGGTCTAACGCGTGTGCTTCAGATAATAAGGTCTGCCACTGAGTCAAGTGCGTGGTTTCGATTACACACTTGTACGTGACAAGCTCGTGGGGTTTCTCCGGTTTATATATTTATCGCGATGATAATTGTTACCTTTATATTAGAAAATAACATTTTAAGACATACTTAAACAAAAAAAATTAAAACAAAAAAACCCCCAAAAAACAAAAACAAACACTATTAACGTAAACATAATAGAATGTCGCACACTAGGCTAACCGAGAACACGCTGAAAAGGGTACGTCCACTTTGTATCAAAAAGTATTCAAGCCAGATTTGGTGGCAAAATGATTTTTTATTTCACAGAATCAAGGGATAAATGAACAACGGGACTGCAAAATTTCAGAAGCCTCCTATGTTGCATTTTCGAGATATATTACCGTAAAAACATACTAAAAATTTGGGAAATCGGGTTAGGTTAGGCTCCATGCAGACACAATGACTTTTAAACTAGCTTTGGTGGCTCCAAGATGTTTATATCTCCACTTTAACAGATAACTTGGGTATGCATCATAAAAACGTTAATGAACTTTGGCATGTTTATACACAAGTTCATTAACTTTTATGCTGCATTATCGAGTTATATCACAGAAAACTTAATAACACCTGGATTCAAGACCAAGTGTTGGAGTTGAATAAGTAAAGGGTATGTATGGGCTTTGGTGGCTAAATATTTTTATTTCACAGAATCAACTACACTGTAAAAAATATCCATTTTTGATGTGGCCGAATTCCGTAGTTTAACACCTTTTTTCTGTTAATCGAAGGATTTTTTGGTAAAATTGTGTTAAAAGCATGAATTATTTCTTCAAATTACGTGTTTTATATATTTCTGTGGAATATTCAGTATTTAACAGGAACTTTCCGTGAAATTTAGGGATAAAATGTTTTATTCCCTTCTATAATGGACTTAATCCTGTTATTTTACGGAATAAACGGTGGAATGACAAGGAAGTTCCGTGAAATTTAGGGATAAAATGTTTTATTCCGTTCTGTAATGGACTTAATTCTGTTATTTTATGGGATAAGCGGTACAACGATAAGTAATCATATACATATATAATCATTTATAATAATGATCATGTTATAGTATTCATTTCAATGGATTAACCATAATATGAAGAATCATATTTTGTAACGTTTGGTATATTAATTGAAATGTATATCTAATTTCCATTATTTATAAGATCTATAAAGTGTATTGTTATTCGTCATAAGGAAATCAGATTGTAAGTATTTTCATAAATATGTAAAAATATGTTTTAATGCCTCGTGTGGTAAGGTTGTAATATCTGGTAATCAAGCAGGCTTAAATCCAGAGAGTACAACCCGTTGGCCAGTGTAAGTCAGGTTGTCTCTATAGCAGAGTCTACCACTAAAAGCCTCCAACGAGTGACGGGTTGTGATACCTTGCTCTCGATTCATAAATTAGCGAAAAGAGATTATGTTTAAAAATTATCTGCGATATCACTTCGGTGGAAGCGGACGTTAGATAAAGCTATTTGACGCACGGGTATAAAGTCAATGGTTAATTCAATGAAATTTTTATCATCTTCATGCTCAGGAAAGAAAATTTACCAGGATTTTTTTTTCTGAATTTGAAAATGGAATTTATGTTAATTGAAGGAATTTCTGTAAATTACAGGAAAAACAAAAAGGGATAAAATTTTCCTGGTAATTTTTGTTTCCGGAATTTTTTACGTTTTTTCACGGAAATTTTTGTTACAGTGTACGAGACTGCAAAATTGTAGAAGCTTCCTATATTGTATTTTCGAGATATATTTCCGTAAACATGCTAAAAATATGGGAGAATCGGGTTAGGGTAGGCCCATGCGCACAAAGTAACTTCTAAACTGGCTTTGGTGGCTCGACGTAGTTTATATCTCCACATTAAAAGATGACTTAGGTATGAACATGCCAAAGTTCATTAACTTTCTATGCTGCATTATCCAGTTATATTCTTGTGTTTGTCGATTTCTGGCAAACTGTCTCAATGACATTTAGTACTGAGCGACATTTCGACTAGGCTTCTCTAGTCATTATCAAGCTCAATCTGTTTCACAGAGAATTACGAGTCTCGTATAATATCTCTGTCATAGATGACTGCCTTAACACGTGCTGTCACAGCACGCGGTGTGAATCATTGGCTGAATGGCGCGTGCATTGTTTACATAAGACATAACTGCTTCGGAGAGAATGCTGCATTTTAGTCATTTTAATACCCATTTACACTAAATCGGAAATAATTTTTAACTACAAATACGTCAAACGCCTTTATTTATTTTTCCAATATATACAAAAAATGTTTTAGAATTTAATTTGTCGCAGGAAAAAAGTTAATATTTCTAGCTCATTAAGCCGCACCAATGTCATCCTTATCAGTGATTGTCGCGGCCAACCAAATATTCACTGCGGATCAGTGTGTATCAAGCTATGATAAAAAATGAAAATATGACAGGACAATAATAATATACATGTATATTCTTGTGTTTGTTGATTTCTGGTATTTGACAAGGCGCTCATTGGCTGTTCAATCAGTTGCTTCGTGGCACTGAAGTTTCTTTAAAAGATGTAATTTTCTAATACTCGTCCTTCAAGTTACTGAGCTTACAGCGATAACATACAGGTACAGTGTACAATTATAGTTGTTTTAGTATGCAGGGAAACTTTCGTCATTCAATTAGTCGGATCATTTGTTCCTTCAAATTATGCCGTAAAAGAATGTATTTTTGTAAAAAAAAATATGAAAATCAAGACTTTGGCATATATATTTTTAGGTGTGTTCTGGCAACTTTAAGAATATATTTTACTATATTTTTATTTTTCAGGATGGCTCTCTTATTTGTGGCTCTCGTTGCTTCTATTCTGGCTCTTGGAAATTGTGGAAATTTCACTATCACACAAGAGGCTTCAGTTAGTATCGAAATTAAAAACTTTGATGGCGAAGGAGAAGATTTCAGAGGTAAATTCACAATAGGTCTTTTTGGAGACTCAGTACCAATGACAGCACTTAACTTCGCTGGAATTTGCAAAGGATTCAAGAGAGGAAACAAAGGGGTAAGAAATTAATTAATGATAACATTTTAATACAATTTTGTTTTCAAATAAAACAAATAACACAGAAATATTAAACTTTTGGAATAAAGAGAGAGAAAATTATAAATGTGAAATAAATTTTACTTTAATAGAAAAGAACAAAAATAATCGTCAGCTATGTGAACTTTCCAAATTAATAAGAAAGGGATATTGGGTCTAAAAACGAAAAGGGATCTCTGGCATGTATTATACAAAACATAGAAATTTAGGAAATGTTCTAATGATCCCGTACTTAAGTTTATTATTACTTTCACAATAACGAAGGCACTTAAAATCTATAAATTGGGCAAACGTGTAAAATGGGTAAAAGCCAATTATAAAAGAGAAATATGTGACGTATATTAACAATTTGAAAGCAGACGACAGATTGTGTGCCGACAAATCAATAAACTTTATAATATCATTATCAATACATTAACATTTAGTCCCTCTTTAGTTACACGTTCAAATTTACACGTTGACATTTTGTTAAAACTGTATTAAAGAGAAACGACACTATAGGTCCTAATCATTATCATTTTAGGAAATTGAACACCATGTTTAAATAGAAAATTTATTTATTTATTTATTTATTTCAGCCTAAACTTCATTACAAAAACACCTTCTGTCACCGAGTGGTAAAAGATATGTTGGTCCAATGTGGTGACGTCACCATTGGTGATGGATCTGGCAGTAAGTATTTGTATAACAATACATTTATTGTAATATTCCCCAGGGAATATTTTTACCCTTCACGGAGATTTATTGAAAACTCAAAAGGAATCTGAATTACATGATTAGACCAGTTATATGTTTATAATAACACCACTAATCCACAGTTTTTGTGATTAACGACATTAATCCCTTACTACAGAACAAATTGTTTATTGCCATTTCCTAATAGCGATATCGTTATTTTATATACAATTATATACAACCCTTTAATTTGAAACAAATAAATAAAGATGACAGTCATTACCCTGGCAATAATTTTACTGCTCAAGTGGCATTAATGTTTTGGTTTCGGATACGTTATGGCTTGCAATGACTTTAATTCATCTTCTCGATATTTATATATTTTCTTTAAATTCCAGGTAAATCAATCTTCGGAGATAAATTCAATGACGAAAACTTCATCATCAGCCACAGCAGTGCTGGTATTATTTCTATGGCTAATCATGGACAAGACACTAACGGATCACAATTCTTCCTCCTCTTCACTAGAGCTCGATACCTCGACAACAAACACGTCGCTTTCGGCAAAATTGTTAAAGGATACGTAAGTGCTTTCCTTCATATTAAATCATTATCGAAATTGGGTTGGATTAAAATCACTAATTGGCATCATTTTTGCAAAACGCCTTATTTACCAAATGTTGTGTTGTTCTCTTGAGCCCTAATAATAGATTAAATTATCAGAATAACTTCGACATTCTTGGGAGCTTTTCTCGGCGACAACGGGATCGAACCCCGGATCACCTGGTTAATGAGTTAGCTCCTTGAGTCACCGTGACTCCATTATTTACTAGAAGATGTTTACAATGGAAGCTATGACATATGTTTAGAGATATTTTTATGTAACGAAATATGTTTGATTTTTAATCACCGTCTTTATTTTCTCAAATTCAGGATGTAGTAGAAACTATCAACGATTTAGGTTCAGAAAAAGACGGTTTAACACCACGACGACCCATCAAAATCACCGACTGTGTTCTTGAAGAAGTTGAAAAATACGATCTATCTAGAAAACAAATGTTTACTGATGATCTTGAAAAATAAACAGTTTATTTAATTTGTGAATTTTCTACCATCATAGTTCATTTCTGCGTGTTATTTTGAATTGTTATGTAGTCGTGTATAAAATGTTCTACAGACTTGTTTCGTTCAATCTACATCATGTCTACGTGTTTTTTAGTATTGTATTTTCTGCATTAATTTGTATTTATTTAGCTCATCAACTAGTGAACTGATGTTTACGTGAATACCGCGGCCAAATCTACTTAATTCAACTTTCATAGTTAATTGTTATTTTATCGCCATGTATGTCGTCTACTATGTAATATAGTGTGTCCCCACGCCCCTTTTTTCATGTAATTTTTCTTGTAGAAGACATCTTGTAAGGATATTGTAATAAAAAACCATTGTAAAAAGAAAGCTCATCCCGTTTTCCTTTTATATTGTAACAAGGCCTATGTTTCCTCCGATGGGACTTGATTTAATTATACAGTTCCATCAGAAGCAGGGACCGCCTGATGGAACCGCCGCGCGAATGTAAAAATGCACCGTATCTGTGATCGAGGGTTACAGAAGTCCAGTACCGGATCGGGGGGGGGGGGGGCAAAGTGGGACAAATGTCCCGGGCCCCCCACATTAAAGGGGACCCCATCATTATGGGTCATACTAATATTTTATCCCGGAAGGAGCCAACCAGTACCTGAGCTGAGGGGGAGAGGATTGGGGCCCTGGGCAGTAAGGGATATTGGGGACCCCGGGACTGGTAGGTACCAACAGATATTCGGGGGCCCAGAGATCGGTTAGGCCCTAAAACTAACTAAATTACATAACTTAGAGGTTCTACCAATCAATGGGTCCTAACCAGTTCCGGGGACCCCATCCCGCGATGTGATTGCTGGGGCCCAACCAGTCCCGGGAAATTAACGTAATCATAGTATAGTAGTTCAGACAAATGTATAAATGCCTAAATTTTACGCCAAAACATCCTTCACATTGCCTTGGTATTATGGAAATAGCATTTTCAGCTCATTGTTTGTCCCCCTAATGGCCCGAAAACACCCCAGGCACTCAAGGTGATATAACCGAACGTTTTTAAATCGGATAATAATTGTGACCTCTGGAGGGACCACAGGCTAAAACGTGATTTTTCGTACAATCAGCGGCCATAATTCAGGAAGCTACGATCCGATATGCAGGAACAAATATCTTTGGATTATAAACCTCTAGAGTGTCCACAAGCTAAAAACGTGATTTTTCGTACAATCAGGGGCCATGATTCATGAAGTACCGATCAGATACATGCCAATATCGAAAGGAACCGAGATCTTTTGGAGATAAACCTATATTTGAAGTTTCCTCAAAATCGGATAAGAATTGTGACCTGAAGAGTGTCCACAAACAAATTGTGGACGGACGTACGGACGAACGGACAGGGGCGACGACAATATACGTCCACATGAAAATATTGGCGTATAAAATCATCAAGTGGCCAGTCATTTCAAAGATTTCGTTACAAGCAGCGCAAATTGCGTTTGGGATTAATTAAAATCGTATATAACCTACGTGCATTACAAAGTTTTCAGAATAGGCAAACGTATGTTTAACGTTCTGCACCACTGACAAGGAGTGCACATTGGAAAATCCCGGGGAATTTCTCTGTTAACACCGGGATCGAACCCTAGACACCATTGTTAGTGAGCCAGAACCTTTTTCATGGAGCCACCGTGATTCACAACACAGAAAACCAATCTTTCCGAGTTCTATTCCAATGTTCAGACGTTCAAAACCATTATAAAAGAAGGGGGGGGGGGGGGTAGGTTTGGTGGCTGAATGGTCTAACGCGTGTGCTTCAGATAATAAGGTCTGTCACTGAGTCAAGTGCGTGGTTTCGATTACACACTTGTACGTGACAATCTCATGAGGTTTCTCCGGTTTATATATTTATCGCGATAATAATTGTTACCTTTATATTAGAAAATAACATTAAAATTTTAAGACATACTTAAACAAAAAAAACCAATCCCCCCCCCCCCCCCCAAAAAAAAAAAAACCCAAAAGACAAAAACATGTCGCACACTAGGCTAACCGAGAACACGCTGAAAAGGGTACGTCCACTTTGCATCAAAAAGTATTCAAGTCAGCTTTGGTGGCAAAATGATTTTTTTATTTCACAGAATCAAGGGATGAATGAACTACGAGACTGTAAAATTTCAGAAGCCTCCTATGTTGCATTTTCGAGATATATTACCGTAAACACTAAAAATTTGGGGAATCGGGTTAGGGTAGGCTCCATGGCCATGCAGACACGATGACTTTTAAACTAGCTTTGGTGGCTCCAAGATGTTTATATCTCCACTTTAACAGATAACTTAGGTATGAACATGTCAAAGTTCATTAACTTTCTATGCTGCATTATCCAGTTATATTCTTGTGTTTGTCGATTTCTGGCAAACTGTCTCAATGGCATTTAGTAATTGAACTAGAGTATACAGGTCACAATTCTCTAGAATACAATAACATGTACTGCTTATTACTGAGCGACGTTTCGACTAGGCTTCTCTAGTCATTATCAAGCTATGATAAAAAAATTAAAATATGACAGGACAATATACATGTATATTCTTGTGTTTGTCGATTTCTGGCAGTTGACAAGGCGCTCATTGGCTGTTCAATCAGTTGCTTCGTGGCACTAATGTTTCTTTAAAAGATGTAATGTTCTAATTCTCGTCCTTCAAGTTACTGAGCTTACAGCGATAACATACAGGTACAGTGTACAATTATAGTTGTTTTCAGTATGCAAGGAAACTTTTTGTCTCTTCATTCAATTAGTCGGATCATTTGTTCCTTCAAATTATGCCGTAAAAGAATTTATTTTTGTAACAGAAAATATGAAAATCAAGACTTCGGCATATATATTTTTAGGTGTGTTCTGGCAACTTTAAGAATATATTTTACTATATTTTTATTTTTTTATTTTTCAGGATGGCTCTCTTATTTGTGACTCTCGCTGCTTCTATTCTGACTCTTGGAAATTGCGGAAATTTCACTATCACACAAGAGGCTTCAGTTAGTATTGAAATTAAAAACTTTGATGGCGAAGGAGAAGATTTCAGAGGTAAATTCACAATAGGTCTTTTTGGAGACTCAGTACCAATGACAGCACTTAACTTCGCTGGAATTTGCAAAGGATTCAAGAGAGGAAACAAAGGGGTAAGAAATTAATTAATGATAAAATTTTAATACAATTTTGTTTTCAAATAAAACAAATAATGATAAAATTTTAATACAATTTTGTTTTCAAATAAAATAAATAACACAGTAATACTATATTTCAATTAATTCACGTTTTTGGTGGATGTTTTTTTTTCTTCTTTTTTTTGTGTTAGAAACGATACTTCCCGTAACAATTATTTAATTAAACTCTGCTGACCTTGGAGTAAGCTATGTTCTATTAAACTGTTGGAATAAAGAGAGAGAAAATTATAAATGTGAAATTTTTTTTTACTTTAATAGAAAAGAACAAAAATAATCGTCAGTTATGTGAACTTTCCAAATTAATGAGAAAGAGATATTGGGTCTAAAAAGCGAAAAGGGATCTCTGGCCTCGTGCATGACATGTATTATATAAAACATGAAGATCCCGTGACGTATAACATATCAATTTGAAAGCAGACGACAGATTGTGTGCCGACAAATCAATAAACTTTATAATATCATTATCAATACATTAAGAGATTGTCCCTCTTTAGTTACACGTTCAAATTTACACGTTGACATTTTGTTAAAACTGTATTAAAGAGAAACGACACTATAGGTCCTAATCATTATCATTTTAGGAAATTGAACACCATGTTTAAATAGAAAATTTATTTATTTATTTATTTATTTCAGCCTAAACTTCATTACAAAAACACCTTCTGTCACCGAGTGGTAAAAGACATGTTAGTCCAATGTGGTGACGTCACCATTGGTGATGGATCTGGCAGTAAGTATTTGTGTAACAATACATTTATTGTAATATTCCCCAGGGAATATTTTTACCCTTCACGGAGATTTATTGAAAACTCAAATACATTTATTTTAATATTCCCCATGGGATATTTTTTACCCTTCACGGAGATTTATTGAAAACTCAAAAGGAATCTGAATTACATGATTAGACCAGTTATAATATGTTTATAATAACACCACTAATCCACAGTTTTTGTGATTAACGACATTAATCCCTTATTACAGAACAAATTGTTTATTGCCATTTCCTAATAGCGATATCGTTATTTTATAAATATTCCACACTCTACAATTATATACAACCCTTTAATTTGAAACAAATAAATAAAGATGACAGTCATTACTGCGATATCACCTCGGTGGAAGCGGACGTAAAATACAACTAACACTAACTATTACCCTGGCAATAATTTTACTGCTCAAGTGGCATTAATGTTTTGGTTTTGGATACGTTATGGCTTGCAATGATTTTATTTCATCTTATCGATATTTATATATTTTCTTTAAATTCCAGGTAAATCAATCTTCGGAGATAAATTCAATGACGAAAACTTCATCGTCAGCCACAGCAGTGCTGGTATTATTTCTATGGCTAATCATGGACAAGACACTAACGGATCACAATTCTTCATCCTCTTCACTAGAGCTCGATACCTCGACAACAAACACGTCGCTTTCGGCAAAGTTGTTAAAGGATACGTAAGTGCTTTCCTTCATTTTAAATCATTATCGAAATTGGGTTGGAGATTGTTTGTTTGTTTGTTTATTTTTAAAGGGATTTCCAATTTTAAATACAACCAATTACAATCACTAATTGGCATCATTTTCGCAAAACGCCTTATTTACCAAATGTTGTGTTGTTCTCTTGAGCCCTAATAATAGATTAAATTATCAGAATAACTTCGACATTCTGGGGAACTTTTCTCGGTTGACAACGGGATCGAACCCCGGATCACCTGGTTAATGGGCTAGCTCCTTTGAGTCACCGTGACTCCATTATTTACTAGAAGATGTTTACAATGGAAGCTATGACATATGTTTAGAGATATTTTTATGTAACGAAATATGTTTAATTTTTAATCACCGTCTTTATTTTCTCAATTTCAGGATGTAGTAGAAGCTATCAACGATTTAGGTTCAGAAAAAGACGGTTTAACACCACGACGACCCATCAAAATCACCGACTGTGTTCTTGAAGAAGTTGAAAAATACGATCTATCTAGAAAACAAATGTTTACTGATGATTTAGAAAAATAAACAGTTTAATTAATTTGTGAATTTTCTACCATCATAGTTCATTTCTGCGTGTTATTTTGAATTGTTATGTAGTCGTGTATAAAATGTTCTACAGACTTGTTTCGTTCAATCTACATCATGTCTACGTGTTTTTTAGTATTGTATTTTCTGCATTAATTTGTATTTATTTAGCTCATCAACTAGTGAACTGATGTTTACGTGAATACGGCGGCCAAATCTACTTAATTCAACTGTCATAGTTGTTATTTTATCGCCATGTATGTAGTCAACTATGTAATATAGTGTGTCCCCCGCCCCTTTTTCATGAAATTTTTCTTGTAGAAGACATCTTGTAAGGATATTGTAATATGTAGTCTACTATATATGTAATATAGTGTGTCCCCCCGCCCATTTTTCATGTAATTTTTCTTGTAGAAGACATCTTGTAAGGATATTGTAATAAACAACCATTGTAAAAAAAAAAAAAAAGCTCATCCTGTTTTCCTTTTATATTGTTACAAGGCCTATGTTTCCTCCGATGGGACTTGATTTATTTATACAATTACATTAGAAGCCGGGACCGCCTGATTAGTAAGCCAGTGCCATACCAACCGAACCACCGTGGTTCTATATTCTAGCGCGAATGTAATAATGCACCGTATCTGTGATCGAGGGTTACAGAATTCCAAACAATGGACAGAGAACGACCTAAAAAAATAATGTGACTTTTTGTACAATCAGGGGCCATAAATCCAGGACGATATGGTCCGATATGCGCGAATATCGAAAGGAATCGAGATCTTTGGGTTATGAACACGCATTTCAAGTTTCATCAAAATTGTGACCTCTAGGGTCCACAACCTTCGTATTACATACATACTTTTACACAATTTGCGTACAAAGAACGGCCATTTTGTTGGGCATTTTCATTTCAATTTTCCGTAATTCGAATTCAGCCTTCATTATGGTAGAATGGTGATATATTTAAACGGTTTTTAAAATCGGGAAAAAATTGTGACCTCTAGAGGATCCGCAAACTAAAAATGCGATTTTTCGAACAATCAGGAAGTTATATTCGGATACGCGAGATTATGAAAAGGAACCAAGATCTTAGTGTGTGACGGTGATATATTCAAGGGTCATAATATGCACGAATATCGAATATTTAAGTTTCATCAAAATCGGATGAAAACTGTGACCTCTAGAGAGTCCACAACCTTGATATACCATATTTCTTACACTACTAGCGTCTGAGGGGCGGTCATTTTGTCCGGCAGTTTTGGTCCGATTTTCACAAATTCAAAATTAGGGTGTAACGGTGATATAATGGGGCGGTTTTTTAAATCGGATAATAATTGTGACCTCTGGAGTGACCACAGGCTAAAAACGTGATTTTTCGTACAATCAGCCTCCATAATTCAGGAAGCTACGATCTGATATGTAGGAACCAATATCTTTGGGTTATAAACATGCATTGGAAGTTTTATCAAAGTCAGATGAAAATTGTGACCTCTAGAGTGTCCACAAGCTAAAAACGTGATTTTTTGTACAATCAGGGGCCATAATCTATGAAGTTTCGATCCGATACATGCCAATATCGAAAAGAACCGAGATCTTTTGGAGATAAACATATATTTAAAGTTTCCTCAAAATCGGATAAGAATTGTGACCTGTAGTCTGTAGAGTGTCCACAAACAAATTGTGGACGGACGGACGAACGGACAGGGGCGACGACAATATACGTCCACATGAAAATGTTGGCGTATAAAAACATCAAGTGGCCAGTCATTTCAAAGATTTCATTACAAGCAGCGCAAATTGCGTTTGGGATTAATTAAAATCGTATATAACCTATGTGCATTACAAAGTTTTCAGAATAGGCAAACGTATGTTTAACGTTCTGCACCACTGACAAGGAGTGCACACTGGAAAATCCCGGGTAATTTCTCTGTTAACACAGGAATCGAACCCCAGACACCATTGTCAGTGAGCCAGACCTTTTTCATGGAGCCACCGTGATTCAAAACAGAGAAAACCAATCTTTCCGAGTTCTATTCCAAGAATTATTAAATCAAATGTTCAGACGTTCAAAACCATTATAAAAGAAGGGGGGGGGGGTAGGTTTGGTGGCTGAATGGTCTAACGCGTGTGCTTCAGATAATAAGGTCTGTCACTGAGTCAAGTGCGTGGTTTCGATTACACACTTGTACGTGACAATCTCATGGGGTTTCCCCGGTTTATATATTTATCGCGATAATAATTGTTACCTTTATATTAGAAAATAACATTTTAAGACATACTTAAGCACCCCCCCCCCCCCCCAAAAAAAAAAAAAAAACCCAAAAAAAAACAACAAACATATATTACCGTAAACATACTAAATATTTGGGGAATCGGGTTAGGGTAGGCTCCATGCAGACACAATGACTTTTAAACTAGCTTTGGTGGCTCCAAGATGTTTATATCTCCACTTTAACAGATAACATGGGTATGCATCATAAAAACGTTAATGAACTTTGGCATGTTTATACACAAGTTCATTAACTTTTATGCTGCATTATCGAGTTATATCACCGAAAACTTAATAACACCTGGATTCAAGGCCAAGTGTTGGAGTTGAATAAGTAAAGGGTATGTATGGGCTTTGGTGGCTAAATATTTTTATTTCACAGAATCAAGTGATGAATAAACTACGAGACTGCAAAATTGTAGAAGCTTCCTATATTGTATTTTCGAGATATATTTCCGTAAACATGCTAAAAATATGGAAGAATCGGGTTAGGGTAGGCTCATGCGCACAAAGTAACTTCTAAACTGGCTTTGGTGGCTCGACGATGTTTATATCTCCATATTGAGGAGATAAACACCTCCTGTTTGGCATTTAGAGGGGTGTTATTGTCCTATAGACATGTCCTGAGATCAATTAGGACCCAATTGTTTAAGTGGCATTTAGTAACCGGATGAGTATAACACATGACACAATTATATGGAATACAAGTTACTTGAATGTTTTATTTCAGCGACGTTTGGACGAGGCCCCGGTCTGAACATTTGTAGAAACGTCGCTGAAATAAACTCTTCAAGTAACTTGTATTCCATATAATTGTGTCATGTGTCAAAATAGACTAGTTGAATAGTTTTGGGCTTTAAAAGTAGTTTTTCTGATGAACTTAATGTTCGGCCAGGTGTATAAAGATCTAATAGATATGAGAGGTAAACAGGAGCTAAATTATTTAAACATTTAAAAGAAAGTAATAAAATCTTAAAATCAATTCAATATTTAACAGGTAACCAGTATAAATTATATAAAACAGGAGTTATGTGGTCGTATTTCTTAATTAAAGTAACAAGTCTAGCTTCAGTATTCTGTACTTTTTGTAATTTATCTATCAGCTTAAAAGGTAAACCAACTAAAAGTGAATTAAAGTTATCTAATCGAAAAGTGACCAGAGAATTAACAAGTGATTTAGTATTTATGTATTTTACCTTTATTTCTGATAGTAAAATAGCACAGTTTACAAATATTATTTACTTGAGCTCCCATAAGCATAAAACTATTAAAGATTGCGCCAATATTACGGGAAGAATAAGATGACAATATATCACAATTACCAATTACAACAGGGGGGTTATCATGTGCAAATTTACCTAATAACAAATATTCGGTTTTATCATCATTCAATTTTAGAAAGTTCTTTGACACCCATTTTCTAATTTCACTAATACAGTTCTCAAGTTGCAATTTTGATAAATTGAAACAAGATGGACAATTAGGTGTAAATGAAATGTATAACTGAGTATCATCCGTATACAAATGAAAGTTGAGACCATATTTTCTGACAATATTACATAATAGTGACGTATAAAGGGTAAATAAACTCGGACAAAGAACAGAACCTTGAGTAACCCGAGATGACAAAACAGATTCAGACGACGATTTATAATTAACTAAAATACACTATTTTCTAGAACACGTGACATCAATTCTCATTTATTTGAGATTGTGTGTTACGAAAACGTGTGTCGATATATTGCCATATCTATCACAAGAAAACAACACATCTAATAGTTTATTTTCCAATCTTTATTTCAAAACATTCATATGATCATGGGTGGAAAAACAATCAGTCTAAAAAGGTTAACTTCTGCTAAGAATATCCTCTTGATCTAATGTATATATCTAACTACAAATTATGCAAAACACAGTTATTATGCAATAGACTCTTATTATAGAAATTAAAATTTCCAAACATTCTTCTCATAATAGATAGATAACTTTGTATTGCTTATGGAAGACCGGATCGGAATAAGTTCATTGGGACCCCATTTTTGTATGTAAAGGGGCGTTCGTATAGACTAAATAAAAACTTATGATAGGCTAGTGTTTAAATTATAATAACGAGTTACAATTAAGTACACGTACACAAAAATGATTCAAATTATCTACAAGGCATCTACATTGTTTATTCGACATCATCATCTGAGGCCATCTGTTTTGCTGATAATTCATATTTAGAGGGAATGCCGACTACACCAGAATCAATGATTCTAACTTTATTTATGAGTGTTCCTTTCAATGAAGATTTAACACTGCCAATCTTTCTTACGGCATCCTGCAAAATAATCAAAACATTGACATCCGTGAAGGAATAAAATACAAACTAGAGCAATCTGTGTAAGTACAATCTTACAGTAAGATTAGGGATATTGAAGGAGGTATAGATGTAACAGTTTTAGAAGGCAAAATATTTGTTTAAGTAATGATTCAATTCTAGATGAATTGAATAATATCAAGAATAATTCATTATTTTGAAAAAAAATAATAAATCAATATTATTTCCCCAAACCTCTTCAAACAGTACCAGCACTTTGTATACATATATTTATTTATTCAGCTTCTAGCATGATGTTACGAATTTTTCGTGTCTCTCTAATTCTGTCGTAATGTCGTTGTGGGGTTACGAAAAGGGGGCGTGATTCTACACTATCAATCACCATATAATTTTAAATATCATCATTTGTTACCACAATGACGGCTAGAATTGCCGCGTAACATTTGGGAAATGCCAAAATGTTTACGAAGCGATTCAGATCACAATACATTAAAAAGTAATACTGGAAATAAATACAAATTGCAATTGCAATAATTCTGGGATGCGGGTGTGAGTTACAAGAGTATCAGACTTTACTTTATTATTAGTAGAGTCAATATTGCTACTTTTGTCAGTACGCTACGTCCCCAAGACTTTTAGACCTTGATTGAACTATCGTGATAAACCCTGACATTAAATTTCAATATTGACGATTTCCCTCGCGTGGATTCAGATTTGTTAAAGTCATTAACATTCGGAAAACTTCGTCGAGCTGAGTAACAAGTTCGTATGCTAAAACTATAGAGACCATTAATATACTGTTAGCTACATTCTTGTATTTATATTATAAGATGCTTACCATGCCCTTAATGACTTTTCCAAAAGCAACATGTCGTCCGTTCAACCACCTTGATTTTTGAAGCAAAATAAAGAACTGAGATGCGTTTGAGTTTCGTCCATAGTTAGCCATAGAAACAATACCAGCAGATTGATGGCTGACAAGAAAGTTTTCATCATCAAACATTGGTCCGTATAAACTCATACCTTTAAAAAAATAATAATAACTTTATCTAAAAGGGGTAGACAAATTTAAATAAGAACAACATGAAAAAAATAAACAAATCTCACGACGCCGGTTTATTTTGTTTCATTGAGAGAGAGAAAAATAAACAAGCCAACTGAGGCTGATGTCCCCCGCCAAATTGAAAAAGTAATTAGATGACACACATTGTTTAATTGCATATTTATCTTTTTATAAAGCCTTAGTCATGGCATTGATGCAATAATATACGCCAAGTTTTGCAATTCTCACTGAATTAGAATCAAAATTGTCGAGTTCCAAAGTCTGTACCAATCAAATTGCTAATCATCGAACTTAGTTAAAGTATTCAAACTTAGTCAAGGTATTGATGTAATGATATATGGCAAGTTTCATCATTCTCACACAATTAGAATCAAAGTTGTCGAACTCCAAAGTCTCAACCAATCAAACTGCCCATCATCGAACTTAGTCATGGTAATGATGTACTGAAACGATACTCCCGAGTTTGATGTAATGAAACTATACACCAAATTTCACCATTCTCACTCAATTGAAATCAAAGTTATCATTTCCCAAAACATCGACGCAGAAAATGTTCATTATTTAGGTTAGTCAAGGTACTGATGTAATGAAACTATAGGAAATGCTCATTATCGAACTTAGTCAAGGTAATGATATACGCCAAGTTTCACCATTCTCACTCAATAACGTAGAATTAAAGTTGTCGAGCTACAAACTCTAGACCAATCAAACTGCTTATCACTTTTCTTAAGCTGAGGCGAAAATGCTCATTATCGACCTTAGTCAAGGTATTGACGCAATCAAATTGCGTATCTCTGCTTAGCCTAAGTAGAGAATGCTCATCATTGACCTCGGTGAAGGCATTCGACTATTAAACAGCTACACCAAGTTTGAAAATTCTAGCTCAATCAGAAGAAGAGTTATTGTGTCACAAAAAGTTTGACGGACAGACAGAGAGGCGGGGGGGGGGGGGGCAACTCACCCCATGACACCGGTTTATTTTGTTTCACTGGGAGTGAAAGAGAGGGAGAGTGAGGGAAGGAGAGGTAAAAGATCATTCGACACAAACTAGGTCATTTCTGGACTAACATGTGGTACAACTGTATTTGAATAATTCGTTTATGTGTAGGAGTCTAAGCAGTGTGATAACCCCCACATGTTTGAGCAGACGACCCTCTTGTCACGTTTTGGGATCTACACCATGCCATTTGACTTAATGGTAGACCTTATGATCTGCAGCGCACACGTTAGACCACTCAAACAACTAACACTCGGGTATACGCCTGAACGAATAAAAAGATCAAGTTCTATTTTGATAGTTCTGAAAATATTTCATTTTAATCTAACTCTTCTGGTATATTTCAAATAAGTTTTATAATCTCGGAAATATTTAGTTCTTTTCACAAGAACGGACATACATTATTTCCAAGCTACATTAATTAAGTATCTCTTACCGCCTTCGCCATAGTTATGGGTAACATCACCACCTTGGATCATGAAATCTGTTACTGCCCTGTGAAATGTTGTTCCACCATATTTGTATAAAATCTACAAATAGAATTAAATTTGAGATTACACATGAAATTAAATGCAATATTAGACATGAACTTAAATTCGATTTTTAACATAGGCCTTTATCGGCAAGTTGGCAAATGAACATTTGTTTACATTTATTTGAAGGTATTTGTTTGAATCGCTATCAGCTTTTTTATTACTCATCCACATACTTATAAACACATTCTTTACATCAATGTTTTAGTATTTAGTCGTGCATTCCTATTTGTAATAACTATTTTTTAAATAAGTCCAGTATATTTCCGGTGTTTGACACAGTTATAACAATCTAATATTTAGGTTGTGTGAAATTACTTAATGTATTATTGCTGAAAAAATGAAATTAAATGAAATGGGGTTTAACCTCCTACTGTTCTGCTCCTACTTGGCTAATGAAGACGGAGATGAAAAAAGAACTATTTCGAAAAGAATGGTCATTTAATAAGACAAAACATGCCTATTATCACGTCACGGAATTGGACAAAAATACGTCATAGGGAGTTTCAATAAAATTATAATGTAATATACGCTTTTATTAAATTTGATAATCTAATTCACGTATATAAAAATTTTAATAAAAGTGTATATAGAGAAATACTCAACTAAAAGTACGAATATATAGTTAACACATATTATGAAAGTTTTCATTCATAGTTTAATGGTGTGGACCTTGCTATTGATTTGACTTTACACGTGTCAGTATAGCTAATGTATACACGCAATCATAATAACCATCGAGCGAGTATACATGTACCTCTCGAGTATTCGATATTTTGAAATATTTTTTTTTAGCTACAATCTTTACTAAAAATAAATAGTTATGTATAAAACAAAGTTTTAAAAATATGTATACTACATGTTTGTGGTTGTGGTGCATTTATGACTATCGATTATGTACTTACACCTCGCTTTTTGAATCCTTTTGCTAATGTTATGAAGTTCAAAGCTGTCATGGGAACAAGATCACCAAAGATACCAATAACAATCCGACCTCCAAAATGGTTGTCAGGGCCAAAGTAATTTTCAATCTCTACATCCAAATATACTTCTTCGGTGACAATATATTGAACTTCATCTTTTACTTCTTCTTTCTCATCTTTTTTGGTTGGTCTTTTAGCTGATAATGCAGGAACTACTACTGCGCTTAATAAGCACAGGGTTAAGAGAACTGATTTGTAACCCATTTTCTTTCGATGGAACCTACAAATATTAAGAAAAATTAGATTATTTTAATTACAGTGTAAAGTTGCGCCGATTCACAGATTAATAATTTTGGAGTATCTCTACCTAGTTTTACAATGTTTGAAAGTATGGCAAAAAAAAGTTCAAAGACCTCGAATAAAAAAATTTAAACCTATAATTATTTGCTCTTCTTAATCAGATGTGTAACCTACCTTTGCAGAAGTAGAAAAGACCGAATCGTGGAAAGTCAACTTTAAGAATCAATGCCATTCCACATGAAAAATCGACATTTGGAAAAGGAGCCAATGAGATGCTGCCAACCTGTGAACACCGGTCGCTGACATGGCTTGTGACGTGTGAAATTGTTGAATATGTCTGTTGCTATACCGTAGAAGAAAGCTAGAATTACTATGACATTCAATATAGAACTGCCACTTTAGTGATGTGGCAAAACTTCATTTATTGAATTTGACGTGGCAAATAATTTACCTTTGAGGAAAGTCATACAAAACATAAAATTTCACAGATGATATATTTATTTCTTATAATGCAGAATGTGCGGTTATTTTCCTTAATATTAGGCCTATTCTGATTTTAGGACTTAAAAATAAACCCCGACAAACCGGCTTTCTTTATTGTTTACATTTTTGTTTGTATTTTCACATATTAAAATCGGAGCGATTTTGTTTTTGTCTTGGTACACACCATCGGTATTTGTATTTCACCGAGGAGTACAATGAGATATTCGCTTTCAACCCAAAAAAACGTTTATTTGCATGGTATGTCTTCAGCTAGGCTTATAGTAGCACGTGGAAGAATAAATTGTACCGTCTTATCGATTTAAAAGATTTAGATGAACACAGGTTTTCATTCTTCGTAACAGCCGGTGCCACTTTGTTATCAAATCAATTTACGTGCTTACCTTAAGATACTTTTAAACATTATTTATCTTATTATAAAATATTTGATTAAACATTAAACACATGAGACCTAGAAAATGCACAAATTCTAGTAAAAATAATAGCCTACATAATTAAAGGCACGGGGCAGATTGTCAAAAGCTGTTATTTTAATATAAAGACTGTTGGAATGGAGAGAGAGAGAGAGAGAGAGAGAGAGGGGTTAACTTCAACTCGACACAAAGTTGGACAAACAAGGTGATAGGCCATTTCGGGACTAGCACAATAATATGGTTCAATTTTAATTCAATAATGCGATTGCGCGTATATAGGGCAGTGGGAGGAATCCTGAGGTCCCGGAGAAAACCCACGAGGTTGGACAGGCGACCATACTCCTTGTCACGTACAAGCGGGGAGACGAAACCACTTAACTTGACTCAATGACAACCCTTCTGATGCAACGCCCAAGATATAGCTATCAATCAGTGTGGTCAAAATTAATAGTTTTTGACAACTTCAATCTAGTTCAATAATACCACTTTGACTTTAAACAATTAGCTTTAAAAGGTGGGGGGGGGGGATTTAACGTACACGTCATTGGATTCAACACTCCCAAAGCAGGTCCGAGTTACCCCCCTTTTTTCTTTGGACGCCATCTCCCAGGCAGTTCTAAACATTATCGAAGAAATTCGAGACTGCACTGTATTATAAACAATGTCTGAAAATGAAATACTTTGCAGGTCACAAAAAATAAATAACTACCAACCACAGACTAAAATATCAACAAAAGCCATCTTATACACAAAACAAATGATTAACGGATAAACTGGCCATCCAGGGGGTCAAGGAAGAAAGTGATTCACAGGAATTATAAATAAAATTGCTTACCGTTAACGTACTATATTCTTAAATATCTAGGGTACCGGTAGGCCTACCCGTTTTTAATCCCAACAAGTTTCAGTGGGGTGCTAGCTGTAGGCCAGGGGACTTTGTCCGTACAAAGATGTAGGCTACGATATTAATTATTATTTATGGTCTGTGAGAAACCGTTCCGAAAGAAATTATAATAATAATAATCACTTTTTTTCAAAAGGGTAGAAAATTGGGTGACCTAATACAGTAATGATCTACTGTTCTGTCACTCTGGCGTTGCCAAGGGGTAGGGATGCAAGTTAAACTATATCGGTAGGCCTATCCCACACTCTTGGACTAAATTTGTTATATTTAAATAGAAAATAATATCTGATGATAGGCCTAACCCTGCATTTTCTTGTATATATTTCAGTCCTCCAAAGTTACGAAGACTTGTTCATCTTGATAAAGATATTGGAATTTTATCAACCTCTACAGTATTATCATGTCCAGATAACCACATCCAAAATTTACATCAACAAGATACATGTATTACTATTAGTAAACTTAATAATAATAATCAGCCATTGCAACCGTCAAAGAGTCCTTCATCCAGTAGGCCTATACAAAAATATTTAGCTTTTTCAAATGTACCCAACCTAATGGTGTATCTGGCACATTAGATATTGGACTCCCAATAAATACAGCAGGTTACATATTAAAAAAACCTTTCTTTCTTGGTTTCTGTGGAGCAAATCACCCCGTTTCAAAAAGTAAGGTATTCTGTTTGTATAAATTTTGGGCTTATTAGGTCCAAAATAGGTGTCATAACTTTATGTGTTTTATGTTAGGTGGTGTCTCAAGTGTAAATATTGAGAGTGAGCTGATTGACAGTGCTATAGACCAAGTTGTCACACTACCACAATTAGTAACAAATGTGTCAGTTGCACACAAAGGGCAAAGTAATGAAATCAGTAAACATTCACAAAAGCTCATACAATTAGAAGTAAGTTTGTTGTTTTGTTTTAAGTTATAAAACACCAGTGCAGTAGAGATGCATGTACATACACCACAATTAATCATCAATAAACAAAATTGGTATATCTTTTAGCCGATTCAGTTAATTTAATAAATAATAATAATTAAAAAAAAAATATAGGGTAAAAATGATACCCATGTTTCAATTCGTTTTGTTTTAATACATCCTCTATTGCTCAAATAGTGGAATTAATAATAATTGCTGCATTGTTTGATTAAAAGTTCTGAAAAATTGATGGGTTAATAAATTTATTAATTATTGCAAAATTTATAGATGATCTTAAAATAATATCTATTCGGTAAATATTATATCTTTACCTTTTAGGTACAACTCCAAAGAGGTAAGCTTAAACAACTATTATCTAAATCAAGTATAAATGATCAATCTTTAAAAGAAATACAATCTTTCACTATGATTGGTAAATAAAGTACAGAATTTACTATTGTGGCTGTCCTCAAAATGATAATTATAGTAATTTGGCAGTGTAGTAGTGTTACATATGGTAGAGTTGCTAAGCATTAGCAGCAGCTGTAATTAGTTAGTACCCTGTCACTTGAAGATGTCTATGGTTATTTCAATCAAATATATGGTTCTTTGTTTCCTTCAAAGAGTTTTTACTTTACTTTTTTAGAGGAGAAATTAAATAGTGATATATTACTGGATGTGTCAAGTGTAACAAAGAAAGTTTATATAACAGAAGATTTAGTTAAAGAAAAACAGAAATCATGTCAAGTTTTAGAGAAAGGTTAAAGTTCATTTTACTTCTTGTTTACTAATAATATCAGCATTTATCACCCAATACACATTCTACAGTAGATATCATTTGTGTGATAACATTCATATTCTACTGATTGATATCTTCTGCTCATCTTTTTTCATATCAAAAAAGACAGGTAGGAGATTCTCTATATATCATCATGTTCCTGAAGCAATGACTGCAAGTTTTACAACATCTGGCTGTTGCTTGTTTACTTCACAATTCCCGAACTTATAGCTATGTTATCTACAGACACGTGAGCAGTAGTGTCCAATCAGAGGTTGTGACATCGCGACCTCCACGGAAACCTTGACATTCAATGAACCTTGAACTTTGCAACTCGATTATCACAGGGAGACATTTTAGCTTGAAACCACGAGACTTGGTATTCGCAACGATCGAGGAATCTGATAGGCTCACAAGTTGGGCTTGTACCCAATGGAAATTAGTGTTTAAATATGCAGGGTATAACATGAAGGCCTTGATAAGATGTACGTAGTTAAAGCGAGATCAAGCCTTCTTTTGAAGATGATATATCATATAAACAAAAGATATTGAATTTTTAAAAAATAAAAAGGAAATGAAATGAACTGGTGTTTAACGCCCTACTGTTCTGCTCCGAACTGTGCTAATGAAGACGGGCATACACCACACAGTGTGCTATGAGGGAAATAGTGGCACTACAGCCTACTCTTTTATCGAATTCCAACTGTCAAGGGATCTTTTACGTGCACACCAATGTGTACATGGGACCTCGGTCCTGCATCACTTTCTTGGCCAATGCAGGGATCGAACACAAAAAATAAAGGACATATACTACAGGATAAAATAAAATTTATCCATAAAAATTAATACAAGAACTACAAACTGAACTAATTTTGCTAAATTTTACCATATTTTATGATAGAAATAGAATCTATTGTTACAAGCAATTCACAATCAGAGAAGAAACTTGATCTTAAATTAACAGAAATAGAAAATGAGAAAAGGTATAGTTTATTTTATTCTTGTATCAAATATTAAAAATCTATTATTACAAACTATTCTTAATCTATTAGCCTGTGCAACAAAAAACTATCCTGTTGTGTCCGAATTCTTAATTTAAGAACACCAACAGAATAAAAAAAGACCTCAGATTTTTAAAATACATAAAAGCATTTGTTATATTTTATCTTTTTTTTATAGAATTTATGTAGAATATAGACATAAGATGGAAGAACATATAGAAAATGTAGGTTTATTTAAAGAATCATTACCATTAAACAAACAACTAGATGAACAGAAACATAAAGTGGATACCTTACAATATAAATGTAAGACTGCTGTATTTTTGTATTTTCAACTAACCCAATGATGCAGAATGATGACTGTTAAAACAAGCGGTTGCCAAGAGATGGACAAGCTAAAAATTATCTAATATTTGGACAATCAGGAGCCATAATCCAGGAAGTTACTGTCCAATATGTGTGAATATCGAAAGGAACCTAGATCTTTGGGATATAAGCATATATTTTAAGTTTCATTAAAATCAGATAAAAATTGTGACCTCTAGAGGGTCCACAACCTTGGTGTTAAACAATTTTACACTATTTTCACAAAATTCTGATGCAACCTTCATTATGGTGTAACAGTGATAAAAATTGTGACCTCTTTAGTATACACAAGCTAAAAACAAGATTTTTCATACAATCGGGCCATAATCCATGTAGTTACTGTCGGAAAAATGCCAATATCGAAAGAAACCAGGATCTTTATCAAATAAGCCTATATTACATGTTTCGTCAACATCGGATAACAATTGTGACCTGTAGAGCATCCACGAACAGATTGTGGAGAGACATTCTGACAGACAGGGGCGATGACAGTGTACGTCCACAAGATATTGTGGGAGTATAAAAATTGTGACCTCTAGACTAGAGGGACCACAAGCTAAAAACGTGATTTTGCGTACAATCAGGGACTGTAGTCCAGGAAGTTACAATCTGATTTGTTTGAATATCGAAAGGAATCGAGATCTTTAGGATATAAATATTTACTGTTGTAAGTTACATAAAAATCTGATAAAAATTGTGACCTTAGAGAGTCGACAAACCTAACACATGATTTTTCATACAATCAGGGACCATAATCTATGAAGTTATAGTCCGATACATTCCAATATCAAAAGCAACCGAGCTCTTTGGGAGATACCTATATATCAAGTTTAGTAAAAATCAGACAGGGGCGACGATAATATCTGTCCACGAAAATGTTGACATATAAAAACTCACATGGTAAAAATGCTTACCATAACAAAAGATGATTATTGACTAATATTTTTGTGGCATCATCATCGTCTGGAAATTCTTTTACAATTGAAATAAATATATTGCTACCAATACTTTCAGCCTGTCTTTTTATATAGTGATTATCATATAGAAATTGTTTACAGACAATGCTCTTTGTGAAAATAAAGAGAAAATGAGATCTGTTTGTAGTGGTGAAAAAGATGGAATTAAAGAAGAAATACAATTATTACAAAAGAAAGCAGAGACAATGAGAAAAGATTGTATAAGTAAACAACAACAGGTAAAATCTTTATATAGGTTTCATTATTAGAACTATAATGTCAGTGAGATAACTAAGAATTACATCCCCTCAGATTCCAGACAGAAAATAGTTCATGATTAAATCCATCTCTAATTAGTCAGTTTGCAACACTGACATAATTATACTCTTTAGTTTGAAGACTTTATCAGGAATCAGTCAGGAGGCAGACCACCATTAATTTCCCCATTGACCTCAATATTAATTTTGTCTCTTTGCTCGTCTCAACTTTTCCCCAAATTTTCTTTGTGCTGAATGCCTTTCACTACAGACAGATAAACAAATGGTCCATGTGCACCATATTTTGTATGAGGTTGACCTCCCAAATTTTGATATACATAAACATGTAACTATTCTCCGTACATATCACGTAACCTGTTAACTCTTGTGATCCTTCTGCCTTTAAATCATGAATATTTATAATAAATAGAACAACTACAATTTGTGGGTCCCACGATATCACTTTGGCGGAAGCGGCGTTAAATAAAGCTATGTAACTATTCTCCGTACATATCACGTAACCTGTTAACTCTTGTGATCCTTCTGCCTCTAAATCATGAATATTTAAAACAAACCTGGCAGAAAATGTTAATTCAAACCCTCTTTGTCCATGCTAGACCAAAAATAGACACGAATGCCCATGCAAAAGGTGAGAAAAGAGAGAGAGAACCGCTATAATAAATAGAACAACTGCAAATTGTGGGTCCCACGATATCACTTTGGCGGAAGTGGCGTTAAATAAAGCTATTTCACAATTTGTGGGTACCGAGATGGTGAAATGCCTCCAGAAGAACATAATTATCTCACTTTAGTTTTCATTAAAATAGTCACCGAAAATTAGTCATTCAAAATACTAAAGAGAGTTTATAATAAAGTCAGACATTGATGTAAGAATGATAATGATAGTTATATCCATGATATCAGAACTGACAGATTGAAAAAAAAATATCCCAGGTCAGCTAATGAAACAAGACTTATAGAGTTACTTCCCTCTTCATTCTGACAACACTTCAAGCTTCCAGGTTAAAAATATTGGATAGGAAAAGAGGTATAACAAATTATCTTTATAAATTATAGACTATATAAGGTTAAGCAATATAAAGTATATAAGGAAATAATGTATACAGAAAAATGTTCTTATACAATAATTATTTTGTTTCAGATTGAGAAAGTGAGGCAACAAGAACTAAAAGTTGAACAAAATATTAATGTTCTACATGTGAGGTTTTGTTTTATTAGTAAAATTAGTTGAATTGATTTATTGCCAATATCTAATCAGTAATGGATTATTAATTGTTGTCAGATTTGATATGTAAATTGCATTGATGTAGGCCCATTACGATTTCAAAAACATGTATTATGTTTCTTTTAGAACAAATTTTTTAAGCAAGTTCAATTTCGAATTTGTTTTATTTTCAGAAGCGTAATAAAGCTCAGTTAACAAGATTAAAATGTCAAGTTAAAGAACAACAGTTATCTTACAGACAATGGTCAGATCAAATTTCTCATTTAAAAAAGATATTATCAGATTTAAAACATCAAATGGGAGGAGCTGTCTAATAGCATATTTTGATAATTACAAAGTCTACTTTAAAAATAGAAAAATAGATTTATTACAATAAACAAATATATATCACAGATTTTATCTCTTTGTTAATTTATAGGATCTTCATGTGGATTAAATTGACATGGATACTGTCCCCATAATTTATAACTTTCATCGCCATCTTTGAATTGACGTTTTAACATTTTACATCTCATACAATCACAGTTTTCCTTCCACTTGGGTTTAACGCTATTTAATACACTGTCACTTTTTACACTCATGGCATCACTTCGGGCATCTAAAGAACGAAAACGTCTTTGTTTTTCTTTTACATTGTCCTTTTTCCTGTATCTACGGGGCAGATGAATAGGATCAAAGTCTTGTTTAACAGGAACACTCTGCACGCTAACTAAGCTGTTGTCCCTTTCAAATGGAAGCACTGGTATGTGAAAATTGATTCGGGATTTATGTTTGATATAATGATGCTTGTCAGACTTGTTACTACGGAATGAATTTAGTTCTTCCTCATCAGTTAACGAGTCCCTTTTTTCTAACTGTTTGCGGAAGGCTATTTTTTGGTACCTGTTTTTACTATGATAAACAGGTTTAGGATCACAGACTATATCTTCTTCTAGTAGAGAGTTGAGATCTTCGCCAGGTGATCCAGGTATTGATGGTAAACTTGGTAAAGATTTAGATAGGAGAGAGACATGCTCTGGATAAGTCTATAATTATAATAAAAAAGTATATATTATAAATGGTTATAATTTACCCCTAAAACCAAATTCTAAAACTTTATAAACCAATTTAAATACGGGTATGTGATTGATTATCTTTAATGTCTTTCTATTTTTCTTCAAAAGAAAATTTGAGTAAAATGAATACTATTTCCTTACATTTAAAAGTGATTTGACAAAAATATCATCCTTTTTTTTTAGTTTAGTGTGAGGTTTGAAGGTAGAAGATTTATTAGTCAATGATATAACTGATGGCAGTTTGATAGATTCTAATGTACCACTTCTAGACAAGGCAGATGTATTAACTCTCGCTAATTCACTTCTCTTAATCTGAAACAAGTAATATTATAACTATTATAAACCAATAGACATAATATATTCTATAAAGCCCTAAAACATACTTCACAGTAGGCTTCAACTACAAGTGGTAAATAAAACTTAGCCTAATATTCCCAAAGTAATGTTAATGAGCATCATGTGACCATTGCTTTAAAATTATGGCTTGACCCTCTCTATTATTTTATTCGTTTTGAAAGAAAGTATAATTGCTTGTTTTCATTATGTCATCAACTATTATCATCTATATTTTTGATAAAATTCACGTTTCATTGAACTTAGTGACTTCATCTGCACTTGAATATGATTCAATAAATATATGGACCTAATGGCCTTGAATTTGCTTAAGTATGAATACAGTTACAGTTGATGAAAACTAGTACATCTCTCAGTGGAAAGTCAACACACCCAAAACCTTCTTGTTTGCCACCTATTTTTGATAGTTTGGGGTAGTTGTCCATTTGCTTCATAACCTTGTGTATATATAATTTTTTTTAATGACTGCCATGACTCATTGTCTATATTTTAAAACAGTACAATCAGTTCAGATTTGGTTTCAAAATTAACTTATCTGTACTCACCTTTGGTAATAATTTATTAACTGTTGTACTCGTATCTTCTGTTAGTTGTATGTTCTTTAATCTGTTTCTCTGTATTTTAAGTCGTTCAACATAACCTGTTCTTTGTCTTGGTGGAGGATATAAAGGTGCTAGAGGACTAACCTGTTCGGGCGAATTTTCTGATGACATTTTCTGAATTCTTGGAAGTTTATTTATCACAAATTATCCATTTTCTAATATTATTTTAACCATTATCAGTCACATCCAGAAAATTAGGACCCCATTCTTTTTATCAGTCAAATAATTTAAAATAACCATATTCATGTATATTGTCTTAGTTGCAGTCAATCCTTCATGTAAGTAAAAGAGAAAAGGTAGAGAATAACAGAACTGGTAACTAGGATTATTGCCTGCTCCTATATTAGTATTACTAATACAAGTATTAAATCTAATCTATATGACCTGGCATATTTATTATTACAGGTTTATATTATGCCAACAGATTATTGTTATGTAAAGACAGTATAATAAAAAAGAATGTGGTGTGGCTTGAATTATTTAATGCAGTATTAAGTTTAAACAATGGAGTGGGTTAGAACTGGCATATAATGAGGAAATTGATGACTAGTAATCTATCACTTGAACAAACTACATCTTACATAACTTAAGGTGTTAAAGTTATTACATTTATCAACTACAATGCTAGGACTACTAAGTGATTACAATCATTTACGTTGCTGTACACTGGTGTTACCTCTGTGAACTTGTTAAAAAATGAGAGATGTTTTCTAAAAAGCATGCAATGCCTCATGCACAATACTCATCTTACAGTTTGTTGCATGATAATCTGGATATCAAGCTATTTGGTAGAAGTACCTATGGAGTAATGGCTATGAGCCATCTTGTATTTTTTTTTTTTCTTTTTTTTGTAAATAAATTTTTTATTCAGATTTGTATCTGAATAGGGATTGGGGAACAGGCATAGCCTATATTAAACCCCTCTCCCTAGCTTATTTTAATACATGTAATTTTCCATTGTTTGAACAAAATCCACAAGAAAGTGATTCTTGTTTCGTTTTAATTTATTTAATAAAATATAATTATTTACACAATATAATCTTATTCAATAAAACATATTCAAAGAAAAAACCCACAAAATAACTAACAATTGTAATTGTAAATATTGTTATTTTCAACCTAAGAACAGATTTTTATTTTTTGAAAAATCCAATTGAATTAAACGTTTAGATTATTACGTATGTCGTGCATAAGACTTCAACAACTAATGAGTAATACCTCCCAAAAGCCAGAACTCCGGTGGTGTTACAAAATAATTACTACTTATATAAATATGTTGTTGATATACCTTGATTGAAATAACAAAACACCAACAAATAAATAAGAATAATAATTATTATTATAGAGTTTGTTACTGTAAATTATGTTTATTAATCACCTAATTGGAGTGACTTTCTCGACTTAGAATGAGGTGATTTTCCAGATGGAGATTTCAGCACATTTATTGTTTTTTTCTTCTCGGAATGAATTAAAGGCGAGTTCATCAATTGCACTAAACTATTAGATGATATAGACGGGGAGAATTTTTTATTCATTGGTGAATCCATAAGTAACTGTGTTTTACTTGTTGGAGGTTGAGGAGAGCTTAAACTTTTACCTTGTAATACTGGTGAGATGTTGCGAGTTGAAAAAGACACAGCTCTATCACGGTCACTATTAGGTGGTCGCAAATGTTCTGATGTTAGTTTGCTTATTCTTAGCGGACTATAAGCACCCAAAACTGGTGAATGAGGAGTTCTGTTTTCACTATCTTCGGTTGATTTTGTCTCGCTGCCACATTGTGATAAGAAGTCATTATCTGACGATGGTGTAGAATTATCCTGAAGATGTGTACGACGACGTTTATGTGGAGAGGCTATACTGGCTTCGTCTTTATATATGATCATATCTCTCTTCTTGTTATTTTTAAATGTAATATTAGTATTAATAGTTTGATCTTTCATAGTAGTTTTGGAGGTCACCTCATCATTATTGTTATTTAATTTATTACCAGAAGATTCTCTTCTTCGTTTGCGTCTTGGCCAAGTATCAAAGTCTGGTGTTCTGGTACTTGGCATAGCATCTTTAGGTGATGGTGTACGAATTATGTAGGTTGGCTTCTTTGGTGTTATATCCCCTCCTTTACCTTTTATCTTTAAATTATTGTCCTTTACCCTTAAATTATTAACACTATCACAGTTTTTTACCTTTAAATTACTGACACTATCACAGTCTTTTACCTTTAAATTACTGACACTTTCACAGTCTTTTAAAGGACTAAAGAACATTTTCTTGCTTACTGATGTAGGTGGGGATTTCAGTTTGAGAGTTTTTCTGGGTGTTTTAAACACATTATCATCAGTCTGTTTTGTCTTAGTAGCTGATTGAGATCGTGGAGGACTTTTAGTAAATAAAGCTGTACAGACAGAACTTCTGGTTGGAGTGATTGGAACTTGAGATCTTGTGTTTTGAAAAGGAGACTTTTTCACTACTTCTTCAAATTTTTTAACATTATTTGCTTCTGGTGTTCTGTTTGGATTGTTTATATTGTCAGTAGCAATTGCAGATTTACCTGGTGTAAACTTTATCTTTGGTGATCTTTCTTTATTAAATTTCGGAGTCTTATTCTTCTGTGGTGTTTCATGATTGGCACTTGATGACACTTTATTATTGGTAACTTTTGTTGGGGTTTTGTTCAAATTCTCGGCATATTTCTTTGTTGAATTTTTTATTTTAGTAGTTGGAGAAAATCTTTTAGGAGTTTTCCTTAGTATTGCCTCAAAATCAGAATTGAGAGGTGTAAACTTTTCCGGGGTTTCCGACACAAAACAAGCATCTATTGCTGAATCTTTTTTAGCAGCAGGACTCTGGAAACTGGATTTTCTCACAGATTTTGTTCTTGGACTTTCAAACAATATTCGACTTGGTGTTTTCTTGGGTGTTTTCTTAGGTGTTTTCGAAGTTTTTCTGCTACTCTGCGATCGAAAATCTTTTTGTGATGGAGACTTGTGAGGTGATGGACTCATCAACTGTGACATTAAGAAACTTCTTGATCTACGTGTAGGAGACATAAACTTGTTTGATACTGTGGATTGCGCTAGTTGACTCAGAGATTTATTGATATTCTCTTCTGTACTAGAAAATGCACGATGCCGTCCAGCTATTCTATCACCAAGATTGTAATATGCCGAGAGATTACGAGGTCTAGAGCGTGTAGAGCTTGCTGAATAAAATGATCTTCTGGTTACAGCTGGTTTCTTCCTAAATCTACCTGGAGATGGCTTGACATCAGTTTCGGGAATAACTAAAATTATAAACACAGGATATATTCAAATAAAGCAACTATAATACATGTAATTTCATATCTGTATAATCAAAATGTTGACAACCCACACTATTAATCATTACTAATTATATTAGATAGCAATTATAAGGATTGAGGAATTTAGTAGGTCTACTAATTTCATGTGCTATCTAATAAACAATACCATTGACAATAAATCAGTCAAAACAACTGAATGTCAGTCAGTAACAACTGTCATAATTGCTATCTAATGATGAAGGAACATTTGTACCATTGGTTCATAAACATATGAGATATGCTGTATAACATCAATTATAAAACAAATACTTCTACTATTTAAACAGAAGTACTGATTAAGAGAATATTAAAATTCATGTTTTAAATTGTGAAATTACTACCCACTGAGATAGGGATTGTGTTCTATTGACTATGCAAGATTTTTAAGATTGAAATTATATTTCTTCTGACAAACAACTTTGACTTTTCAATAGAATACTGATTTGTTACCTTCTGCAGTCTTCATAGGTGATTCGTTTATTATCTGTATACCATCTTTCGAATGAGTTCTTCGTCTTTGTTTTTCTTGCTGTCTCCATGTAGGATTGGCTCTCTGTTTATGTGATGGTGTTTCAGCTACCATTATATTAGAAGGAGATTTCTTACCTATAAATTACATTAACAGAGTTAATAGTAATATATGAAATGTTTGAGTAAAATGATCTTGTCCCAAAGCATCGACCAATGAAATTTCTTTAGCTTGAAATGTTAATCATTGAACTTGGTCAAGACATTCAGCTAATGAATATCTACATATTGATTTGAATAATCAAATTGCTTATTGCTCCTTAGCCTAAGCAGAAAATTCTCATCATCGAACTTAGTCAAGATATTGATGTGATAAAACTATACACTGGTAGTGTCCTCACTCTCACTTAATTAGAACTAATGTTATCGTGCCCCAAAGCATCAACCAATCAGATGTCTTATCTCTGCTTACCGTAAGCAAACAATGTTTATCATTGAACACCATCAAGGCTGTTTATCAATGAACCTCATCAAGGCATTCACCTAATGAACGACTACACCAAGTTTGAGAATTCTACCTCAATTAGAAGGAGAGTTATTGTGTTCCAAAGTATCGACAACTCCATCAAGGCATTCACCTAATGAACGACTACACCAAGTTTGAACATTCTACCTCAATAAGAAGGAGAGTTATTATGTTCCAAAGTATCGGCGAATCAAATTGCTTATCACTCTGCTTACCCTGAGCAGAAAATGCTCACTATCAAACTTAGTCAAGATATTGATGTCCTCACTCTAACTTAATTAGAACTAATGTTATCGTGTCCCAAAGCATCAACCAATCAAATTGCTTATCTCTGCTCATCCTAAGCAGAAAATTCTCATTATAAGGAATAAATATGCCAAGTTCTAAGATGATCCATTCAGATTCAGAATTCCAGTCTGTTGACATAAAACGCAAGAATTGGGCGTGGCTCTGCCCCTGGGGGTTGGACATGCACCAAAATCAACAGTTGCCACCCTGAAGCTATAGTATAAGGAATACATATATGCCAAGTTTGAAGATGATCCATTCAGAATTGCGTCCAATAAAGATAAACACAAAAAATGGGCATAGCTCTGCCCCTAGGAGTCAGGACATGCACATCAATAGTTGCCGTCCTCTGACAGGCTATAAAAAGAACACTTATATCAAGTTCCAAGGCGATCCATTAAAAATTGTGGCCTGTAGGCAACACACAAACATACAAAGAAAAATGGGTGTGGCCCAGCCTCTGGGGGTCGGGCATTCAACAAAAACAATAGTATCATCCTCAGGGTATATGGAATAGGAATGCAAAGTTTCAAAAGGCACTGTAAAGAATTGCGGCCTGTAGGCGACAGAAAGACACAAACAAAAATTGGACGTTGTTCTGTCCCAGAGGGGTCGGGCATGCATCAAAAATAATAGAGGCTATCCTTAGGGTATAAGGAATAAGTATGGAAAGTTTTCAAGACGATCCATTAAGAATTGTGGCCAGGCGACAGGCACACAAAAAGAAAATGTTTGTGGCTCTGCCCCTGCAGGTTTGGGCATGCACCAGAAACAATAGGGGTGATCCTTAGGGTATAAGGAATAGGTATGCAAAGTTTCAAGATGATCCGTTAAGAAATGCATCCTGTATATGACAAACAAACAAATACAAAAAATGGGCGCCACTCTGCCCCTGGGGGTCTGGCATGCACCATAAACAATAGGGATCATCCTTATGGTATCAGGAATAAGTATACAGAGTTTAAAGACAATCCATTAAGAATTTCGCCCTGTAAGCGACCCACAGACACAAACAGACTGGGGTGACAGCATATAAATATGTCCACATTCAATGTAAATCAGTTTATATACATTTATATTACATTAATATATGCCTTGCGACCCATTTGTGTCAATTTCTAAGTCCAAAATATTAGAGATTTAGCTCCTCTAATCTATTGTCAGTAACTCACTTAGTGATGGTCCTATAATTTGTTAAAAAATCGGTAATTGTCCAATAAGTGACCCATCGGAAGAAATCGGTATCAAAAGGACTCAGTAAAAAAAAATCTAAAATATCATTCGAGTTGTGAACGATTAAATCAATATTGTGCTTGACACTCGCCCACTCTGTAAGATTATTTTAGTTGCCGTGCGCGGGACTATTTACACATAATACAAGACTCTCATGGAGGCCATAAAAGGAAATAATAATCAGTGTAAAATCCTTAGAGAACGCAACAGTAGGCTTACATGGCTGTGGCCTCTCTTCAACCCCATTTCAATGCATGCTGATATTGTACATCATCATGCAGTGGACTTATACCAGAATAAGAGATCAAAAACACATAATATTAATACCTATTTGAATTTTTGTTTAAAACTTTAAACATCACTGTCGCTGATGTGATATAGTTCCAAATCTATCTTCCTACTTTGGATCATTTTTTTCTTTCTTAGTTTTATCTAACTCAATACGGTATTGGTATAGTACTATACACTTGATTGAGATGAAGGATGGAAGGGGGGGAATGACTAGAGAATATCACATGATTGCCACAGTTGACAGAAGGGAAGCTATCGCTTTGATGTATTATCATTACCGCATGAACCATTCTAACATAGATATAATACAGGTGCCACCCAAGTTTGGGAATTATATCGTAGAGAGAGAGAGAGAAATGGGGGTTTAACGTCCACTCGACACAAACTAGGTCATTTCGGGACTAACATATGGTTTAATTTTTTTATTTCAATAATTCGCTTGCGCGTAGGGGGAATTATCTCGTAGTCAATATTTAATAACTGATCGTGATTATGTCAACTTTATTTATTACTCATACCACAAATAATTTTAGTTCACAATAGATGCTATGTATTTTTGACTTTGGAGTAGGGGTGACCCAATTAATTTTTCATTAAAAAAAAAACACATCACGTTCCTGTTTGATTCCCAGAGTAAAATAGTACCCGGCATTTCCCGACTAACAATTACATTTAACTACATCGATTATCATGACATTCGAGACATTTTAATGTGTAATAGTTTTATATCTACCACTATCGGTAATTGTATCTGTATCGGCCGATATATTTCGCTGTTAATAGTGGATATTGGTAAAACCGATGGTAGCCATATCGGACTATCACTAGTAACTGTTGCTATTGTACATGTACAGCACATATCTTAACTGTCTATATAATGAGATTTAAAAACACTCATTCGTTTTAGATTACAGGATGACAATCATAAAGTCAGATGGATTTAATAAAAAAAGGGGCTTGATGAGCAGCATGACAAAAACATGAATTGTTACATTAGATATCAAATCTGCAAATTTCAAGTTCTAATCACTACATTAGTCAGGGCCGAGGGAAGCAATTCTTGATTGGGAGGGCGGCTACCATCCTAGGACTTTAGGCGAGGGGCTGTCTAGGCCGAAGAAGCTCCCGGGGATCTAAATTGTCGGAGACGCTTTCCAAGTGATAGAGAGAAATGGGGTTTAACATCCACTCGACACAAACTAGGTCATTTTGAGAAAACCCACAAGGTTGGACAAGCGAACCTACTTTACAACGCCAGTCGACTCAATGACAGACCTTATGATACAGCGCCCCCCCCCCTTCGCTGGCTAGTAAAATTACTCAGCAATGCATTTAAAACCTTTTCTTACAACACTGGCCGGTAACATGGATCATTTCACAAAGTTTTTTGTCGTGGGCCTATATATATTCAAATGAGAAGATCTTAATCTGTTAAATTCATCAAGAAAACTCGAATAAAAATCAAAGTTGTTAATATCTATACCTTAGCCCCCATTCTCTAGCTTCCGGGTGTTACCATGGACCCTGAAATACGGTCCATGGTGTAAATAACACATTGGCAATTTTATATTTTTCAGAGGTTGAACTAAATGTCATTCGCATGAAGATAGTTCCGACTAGAGTTCGGAAATCCGTGCAACCGAAGGTCGCCCTGTTCTGGACCATCTAGAGGTTACAATTTATTTCTGATTTGCACTTATTGGGCCGTAACTTTCTGGATTTATGGACTGTGATTGTACGAAAAATCAAGTTTTTAATTAAAATCATTCAAATATATCACCATAATTCCTGAAAATCGGGCCGAAACTTCCCGTCAAATGGCTGCTCCCCTTTACGCAAATAGTGTAAAAGTATGTAATACCAAGGTTGTAACAATTTTTATCCGATTTCCATGAAACTTAAAACGAGTGTTGGGTGAGTTCAAGGTCGGTGCACATCAGACCTTCCGTTCTAGAGTTATGTCAAATGCCTTTTACGAAAAATGTGAAATATGAATTAAGTTTGTAGACCTCCCAGGGGCGTTAATTTTTGTCTGATTCATGAGATCAAAATCAATCTATGTGTTGAGGATCAAAAGTTCTTGGATGAGTTTCACTTTGGTACGGATGAAACCTTCCATTGCAGAGCTTTAGCCCCTGCAATAGAATATTAGAAAAACTCCATCCCGTCATGTTTTAATTTGCCAATCTGTCATAGATACAACGGAAATGAGATGGAATGAAATATTCGACTGGTCACCAATGTTAATTAATCGTGACCTTCGCATCTGGGGGGCTCTTAACTTAGGGATCAGTATAGAAAATAGCAGTGATATTTCTTCTAAAAGTCTATGTTCTACTTCTAGAAGTCTCACTTCTATGTTAAAATCAGGTCTCTTCTAGTTATGTCACTGTATCTAACTGAATAGTTACTTACGTGCAATAACCTGGAGAAAAGGGTACTTGCTCCGCCTCCCCCCCCCCCACTCCGCCGGGCCTGTTAGTAAAGTACTAGTATAAAGGTTATTACCTCCAGGACTTTTAAATGCCATTGAGCTGACTACTTTTTTCCTTGGTGATCTACGAACAGTCTCCATGATCGCTACAGATTGTCTTCTGTCTAACTTGGTTCTTTCGCCATCAAATAAATTTCTTCGTACATTTACAGCTTCTGAAATACAATAAAACAAATTACTACATACTTAAAATTCCTACAGTTTAATTTGATCTTATTAAGAAAGTCAGCAGGGGGCTTTTCAGATTCCTCGATAGAAAATATCATTGCAAATACTAATTCTCGAGCTTTCCAGCTAAAATGTTTACCTGTGATAATCGAGTTGCAAAGTTCAAGGTTGGTTCAATGTCAAGGTTTCCATGGCGATCGCCATGTTTGATTTGAGTGTGTTTGTGTCACAGCCTCTGATTGGACAATGCTATTGTTCATGTGTCTGTGGTAAAGGGAAATAACGTAGCCTACCTATAAGTTTGGGAATTTCTGACTAATCTTGCAATGGCTAGATGTACTAACACTCGCGGTTGTTACTTCAGGAACCTGCTTGATAATATGAGTCACATACTTTTTGGGATCTCTCAGTAAGTCCAGTTAATTGTACGTTGTAAGTTCAATTGAATATAACACTACCTAACCAAACCCTATCTAAACATACAATCGCTTGAAGTTGTCTGATTACACTATCTTATGCTCATGTCTACTGAAAGCAGGGCATCTAAATTTAAAGTAATTATGTGTTTTACTTCTTATTTATTTGGTTATTTTGTTATTGATCTGTTTGGATTAAATCGAGTGATCATTTTATACAGATGAAAATGGAAGTTCAATCAGTTGTTGTTTTCAAGTATCTTTAAAACAGTAGTTGGTGTCAACAAGCCAACAGTTAGACTGATGTCCCCCGCCGAAATCCCAAAATAAATAGATGACACATATTAATTAATAGCACATTTATTTTTTTCAAAAGTATCAAACAATCAAACTGATCATCAACTATACACTCAGTTTCATCACTCTCTATCAGATAGAATCAAAGTTATCTTGTCCCAAAGCATCGACCAATGAAATTGCTTAGCTCTGCTTAGCTTTAGCTCGAAATGTTAATCATTGAACTCAGAGAAAACATTCACCTAATGAACATCTACATCAAGTTTAAAAAATTCTACCTCACTTAAAACCAGAGTTGTTATGTTACAAAGTCTTGACCAATCAAATTGCTTATCGCTCCTTAGTCTAAGCAGAAAATTCTCATCATTGAACTTAGTCAAGGTAATCATATAATAAATCTATACTTGGCGATTCATCACTCTCACTTAATTAAAACTAAAGTTATCGTGCCTCAAAGCATCAACCAATCAGATTGCTTATCTCTGCTTACCAAACGCAGACAATGTTCATCATCCAACTCCATCAAGGCATTCAGCTATGGAACACCTACACCAAGTTTGAGCATTCTAGCTCAAATAGAAGGAGAGTTATTGTGTTCCAAAGTCTGGACCAATCAAATTGCTTGTTGCTCTGCTTACCCTCAGCAGAAAATGTTCATCATCGACCTTAGTCATGGTATTGATGTAATTAAAGCTATACACCAAGTGTCCTCACTCTCACTTAATTAGAACTAAAGTTATCGTCTCCCAAAGCATCACCCTAAGCAGAAAATTCTCATCTTCGAACTCCATCAAGGCTTTCACCTAATAGACACCTACGCCAAGAGTGAACATTCTAACTCAATTAGAATGAGAGTTATTGTGTTCCAAAGTCTCGACCAATCAAATTGCTTATCGCTCTGTTTACCCTGAGCAGAAAATGCTCATTATCGAGCTTAGTCAAGGTATTGATGTGATGAAACTATACACCAAGATTCATCACTTTCACTTAATTAGAACTAAAGTTATCGTGTCCCAAAGCATCAACCAATCAAATTGCTAATCTCTGCTTACCCTCAGCAGAAAATGCTCATCTTCGAACTTCATCAAGGCATTGACCTAATAAACACCTACACCAAGTTTGAACATTCTAGCTCAATTAGAAAGCGAGGTATTGTGTCCCAAAAACTGTGACGGACGGACAGGCAGACAGACGGACGGACAAACTCATTTTAATAGTCCCCTGCTTCCTTCGAAAGGCGGGGGACAAAAAGGAAACCAAATTTATTTCAACTACACAAATATATAATTGTTTAAAAAGCTGAAATTGTTTTGTCAGTTGATACAAGGATTACTAAAACAGGGAAGAATTAATTAGAATTAATTTATTATACAGAATCTGAAATAGACCCCTAACAGTAACACATGTTACTACTGACTCTTCCCCTTTAATCATAGACAGGAAATGTTCAAAGTATACTTTATATTTACCATTTTCCTTTTGTTTATGTTTTGTTGGTTTTTGACTGGTCCTACTACTAGCTCTTGGTTTCTTTACCTGTAATATCACATTGTGTACTATGTAATTATATTATAATATAATTTACAGACAGCAGAAGTGGGATTTTGGACTTGTCTTTTATAAAAGATTAAAATTGGGACAGGAATTTGGAGGGAAAATTTTGTTATACTTTTGAAAAATGGCCTTAGAAATGTTTCGCTCTCTAGAGCTGGGCGATATCCCCGCAAACAGATATCGCGATATTTTATAACGTCAATAATTTTAGTTTATCACCTTTTAAATGTAAATAACCATGCATAAAAAGTTTGAAATACCCCCAGGGTATTCACTTGACACACTCTAGTCAAAATCATTAAATGTTTTTTAGAATAAATACAGTACCGAATTTATAGCTACAGGTACAATTGGGTGCTATTCATTACCCTTACAAACTCATGTTCTCTCATTCAAGCGTATGCCTTGTTGAAAATTCATTTTACAATACAAGAATACTAATTTATACTATTCAAAAAAAGTAGGGGATATTTGATTTTGGGGGCATAATACTAAAATATGCAAATGACTACGAAAAAAGTCACTATAGAACCTAACAGAAGAAACATTTCCAGTTACATGTGACGCCCAAACGCACCAATAGCTACCGCATGGAATGCAGGTGATGCTTGGGATCATCATGGAGGTCCAACCCAAGATTTGCACGACTCTGATTTTGAATGTTACAGTCATTGTGGCATTGAATTCCAGGGTGGAAACATCAGTTTAATTGTTTTAGTGACCAGAAAACAAATTTTGATATGCGTCGGCTTACCCAAAATGAAAGGTTACGTGCCCTTGGCATGCTACAGATCGGCACAACACAGGCGGTTGTGGCGCGGACGATGAATGTTTCTCAGTCTGTCATAAGCAGGCTATGGTCCAGATACCGTGATACACAATCTGTACAGGACAGACCACGCTCAGGTCGACCAAGGGCGACAACTCAAGCCCAGGATCGATTTATCCGTACCTTGGCCTTGAGAAATCGTGTCATCACAGCAAATCAGATCAGCGCTCGTCTTCAAACAGACACTGGTGTGAGAGTGAGTGGCCAGACGATTCGGAATCGACTGCATAGGGGTCACCTTCGCGCCCGACGTCCTCGCGTGATCCCTTGTTTGAGAGATCATCACATTCAGGCAAGACGTCGTTGGTGTAGGGATCGTCAACACTGGGATAATCGACGCTGGAGCAATGTGATGTTTTCAGATGAGTCAAGGTTCACTGTTGATTTTTTGGACAGACGTAGGAGGGTGTGGCGTCGTCGAAACGAGCGCTTCCAAGACGTTAACGTCATCAGACATGATCGATTTGGGGGTGGTTCAGTTATGGTGTGGGGAGGCATCACTGTTGCTGGAAGAACGGCTTTACATGTTGTTGCAGGGCGTGTTACAGGCCAGTACTACCGGGACAACATCTTGGCAGTCCATGTTGTGCCGTTCGCACGACGTCATGGCCGCCGTTTCATCTTCCAGGATGACAACGCAAGATGTCACAGGGCCAGGATCGTTACAGGTTACCTCCAACAACAGAACATCACCACATTACCTTGGCCAGTCCCAACCTCTCCCCCATCGAGCATGTCTGGGACATGCTTGGACAGAGGTTACGTCAACGTCAACAACGTCCTGCCAATGTCCAAGAACTTGCTGCTGCGTTGCAACAGGAATGGGACAATCTGGACCAAAATGACCTTAGACGTCTCATTAGGAGTATGCCACGTCGGATCAATGCTTGTTTGGCAAACAGAGGAGGATTTACCCGTTACTGACTTGGTTGTGATGCTGTGGTAACTTTGCTGTTTGACCCCGGGTATCATTTTACCCTTATAATGGTCAGTCTGTGCCTTACTTAGTCTAACGATCATTTGGAATAAATCGATGAATGTGAACTTCATTTCATTTTGTCATTTGTTTCTTCGTCAGTTTCATTAGGTGACTTTAATAACACTTAAAAATCAAATATCCCCTACTTTTTTTGAATAGTATATTTAAAGTAGAAAACATAAGTACTATGTCAAAAAGTGTCCATTGATTTCGTCAAATTGTGATTTTTCGGATCACGGACTGCCATGACACTTCCGATGCTAAATGATAATCAGTCTACCGGTACTCGCTATATAGTGTATAGTTAGCATTATTTATATTTCTGCTTTATTAAAATTTATTTCAATCAGAAAATCAATGATTCCTTTGGAAAATCAAAGTATTGGTATAAACAATTTGTCATAATGCATAGAAATTGAACAGAAGCATGGATAATTCTTAAGATATTAGTCGGGTGGAAAAGTGAGCGAGCTCTCTAACGCCGTTTGCAAACTTCAGGTGTTTATAACAGTATTTAGTCATCATTAAGCAATAAAATATCGTAAACAACATAAAAAGGAAGACATTTTATCAATATTTATGTTAAATGTTATCCAGACTTTGACAATTTTTAGTCTCAACAAGTCATTATTCAGCAGAAACAATCATTATCAACAGAATTATCTCCATCATCACTGTCAATTTCACTTTCTAATATCACTAGCTCGTCTTGTTCTCTCAACAAGCATGACCTTGAGATTTTCAATGACATGTATTTATGTATACGACATTCAATTTTTAATGACACTTGTTACATTTATATAAGATCAAACGTCCGCTAATTGTATGTGCTTGGCCACCATGATAATTTTTTTTCACCTCTTCCGGGAATTTACATTCTTCCTCTATGATATCCATGAAGTCAATGCCCCATTCATTTACAATTAATATCTGGCGATACTGGCACTGTTCCCTTGTCATCTGAACTAGACGAGGCAACATGGAGTTCTTCACGACCAAAATAAGCGAACAGTGTAGTTTTCGACCTGTCTTTGTCGCAAAACCGCTTCGTTTTGGACATCATCCTGTAGCATTCACGTGTATAAGGGCTGGCTGAAAAATTCTAAACCTATCTGCGAAAGACCTGTACAAAAACAATGGTTTTCACTTATTTTTCTACTTTTGCCAACAATGTGGCAAGGCCGGTCAGGACGCAGGTCATCATCAAGGCTCTCTCTCACTGCCACGATTAAATTCTGCAACCCGCTTCATTACTGTGAAAAAGGAAGGGGCATCATCGCTTAAAGTGGAGACCACGTCGGCATGTATATGTGTTGCAGGTACTTGATGACTGCCCTATACTGGCTGTGATAATAATTTATCAAATATCACGATAAACAATATTATCATGATAATTTATATGTGGGCAGAAATTGTCACTTGTTGATGTCAAATTATTGTTGCTAACGTCAGTAGACGCCATGATGGATATTTACCTTAAACCATCTGTTTTGTATTAATGCTATTTTTACAGATGAATTTAATTCTATAATAGAATGTCATACAAGTTAGTCAAAGTAAAATATTAATAACGATAATATGTAAACAGAAGTAGCAGGGTTCTAAAATCATACTTTTTTTTTAATATTTACAAGATTTTTTTATTTGTTTTGGCTTCTGATATGGGCAGCAATTTTTAGCTCTCGATGCTAAAGCTATTGATGGCCATGACTATGGCTTATGACAGCAAATGCCGCGATGGCCCTCATGAATTTCGAGCCCTGTATTACTTAACAAACAGGTAACTTACCTTATTGGTTGCAGCTTTAATATCTAATTTAACCATAATTTGTTTCTTGTTACCTAAATCTGACATACTTGGATACTGTACTACTCTTCTACTTCTGTACAAATTTATAAATAAAACAAACTTTACAAGAGTTCAAACAATCTAATAAGATATAGTGATCCAATTCCAACCATAACACATTCTAATAGATTACAATACATTTGACCAATAAATACTGATTGTATATAAGGCCACACATACAAAAAAAATATTTTGCTGCGTCAACAAAAATGGTCCACGTTACATGTTTTTATTAATAAAAACAAAACAAACTAAAGTCAATAATTTCCGCTGGTTCATAGTTCCCGCGATCAAGGGAAGTAACTCTATTGAACATTTCTTGATAACAGGAATTAAACACTAGACTCAGCTATCAAGTATGTAACCATGGGAAACACTATTGACAAGCACGAATGGCACTGGATGATCGAATGTTTATTTATTATTCGCAAAGATGGCGACAATTTTTTACGATCAAAATGCTTTATCTTTCCCGAGAAAGATTGAGATTGAGGGTGCAGACTTCGATTTAAATCGCCAGCAAAATCCATGCTTTAACAATGAGTATGGTATCGATACCACGTAATGGTCGCTAAAATAAATACCTGTGGATTGTCACAGAATTATTTGGACGTTATTTCAAATTCTTACTTATTTTACTTACTAGGAGTTGAATAAATATTAAATTTATAATAATTTTGTTTTTTTCTTAAGAATGAAAAACTAACTAGATTTTGACAAAATAAAACAAAAAAACAAAAACTGCCCTCCCTTATCAATTTTTTTAAAAGGATCGCTGCAAACCAGAATATTTTTTTTTGTGTGGTCTAATTATAGAAATAACTTTTTTTACTACTTGTACGCTAGTGGCAAACTTCTTACCAGAAGTTAAAAAAACCCAACATATCTTATTAAATCTTAATCATGTATGGAACATGATAATGTAACACAATCTATTTTCTCAATAAAAGGTTAAGAAGATTTTCTCACAGGAAATGTGTTTTTACAATAAAATAGTTTGAGTACCTGCGTGTGGGTTGAGTAAGAAGTTTATCTGAATGATTTGATGTATTAGATGTAGGTGCTTCAAATAAACTGTTATCATTGTGACTATTACCAGAATTATCTAGTATAGCAGTACCACTACTGTTAGGCGAACCAAATCCTTCTAGTTCAATAGGTAATGGCTGCATTAATTCATCAAATATTGTCACTAAAACTTTAGGCACGGTTGAAGAATAACTGAAACATAATAGAAATAAAGACATCAATAACCGTATTGAGTTAAAGATACATTGTCCCGAAAGTATTAATTGAGTGGTTATTTCCAATAAAGAGAGAGAGATAGAAATGAGGTTTAACGTCCACTCGACACAAACTAGTTCAATCCAGGACTAACATATGGTTCAATTTTATTTCAATAAATCGGTTGCGCGTAGGGGTCTTTAGCAGTGGGAGGAAACCAGAGGACCCAGAGAAAACCCACGAGGTTGGATATTTCAAATAAAAGTATGGCAAATTTGGTATAAAATTATATGGAAAGTATAGACACCCAATCTTACTAGAAAGATAGGTTGCCAGGCAACGAAACATACATTGAAAATCACTGGGAATTGGATATTAATTTTAGCCTTTAGAGAGTCCACAAGATTTTTCGAAGTGTTTAAGGGCCATAACTCTGGTAGTAATTATCAGAAATCATTGAAAATCACTGGGCTTCTTCATCTCACGACCTTAATTAAACACTGTGTATAAATCTGAAGCCAATCGGATATTTACTGTAGCCTCTAGAGCGTCCACAAGATTTTTCAAAGTGATCAATCAAGGGCCATACTTCTGGCAATAATTATCGGAAATCACTGAAAATCAATAGTCTTCTTCATCTCATGACCTTAAACACTATGTATACATTTAAAGTCAATCGGGTATTAACTTTAGCCTCTAGAGCATCCACAAGCAATTGTGGATGCCTGGCGGTTAGACAGACCGACAGACGGACGGACGGATTGGGATCGACGACAATATATATGACAACATTTCAATGTGGGCGCATAAAAATATCACTAACTGGCAACCCGACTGTTGTCTTCTAGCTTATTGTGTGCTAGCTTGACTGAGGGAGTGGTTGTTATTTCTTGATCAAATGGTTAGGTGGTTTTGGGAAAATTGAGGGGTGTCAAGGTACAAAAGACTCTGCAATTAAACGGCAGAAAAGATAGTTGATAGAAAATAATTATGAATTTACTCAGGCCTCAATGTATATGATAAATGGACAGTCAAGTAACGAAAAATACATTCTGAAAAATGGACCTCCCTCAATGAAAAGAGAGAGAAATGGGGTTTAACATCCACTCGACACAAACTAGGTCATTTCGGGACTAACATATGGTTTAATTTTATTTCAATAATTCGCTTGCGCGTAGGGGTCTTTAGTAGTGGGAGGAAACCGGAGGACCCGGAGAAAACCCACGAGGTTGAACAGGCGACCCTACTCCTTGTCACGTACAACCGGGGATTCGAAACCACGCCAGTTGACTCAATGACAGGCCTTATGATAATACGCGCACATGCTAACCAACCATCCAACCCCCCCTCTCCCTCAATGAATTTAGCTGACAGACTTGGGGTCCAACAACAGTTTTGAGAAGGATTTGACACAGAGAGAGGGAGAGTTGCCTGTCCAACATAGTGGGTTTTCTCCTGATCCTCCGGTTTCCTCCCACTGCTAAAGACCCCTATGCACAAGCGAATTGTTGAAATAAAATTGAACCATATTTTAGTTCGAAATGACCTAGTTTGTGTCGAATGGACGTTAAACCCATTTCTCTCTCTATATATACTACATCTTGCAATTCATTCTGCACAATTGTGCTTAGTTGAAAGTAAAAGATTATTTCTATGTCGGGGATCACATGACTAAGTGGGTAAGTCGCTGGCTCGCTAGCCTGGAGGTCAGGTGTTCAATCCCTGTATTGGCCGAGAAAGTACATCAAGATTTTCCGGCGTGGTTCCCCCTTGTCAGTGATGCAGGACGGAGGGCCTGACAAGGACAGCTGTCTAGTCGTTCGGATGGGACGGAAAAACGAGGTCATAGCACACTGTATGGCGTACACCCGTCTTCATTGGCACAGTTCGGAGCGGAACAGTAGGATGTTAAACCCCATTTCATTTTCATTTCATTTCATATTTCAATGTCGCCAGACAAATCAATGATATTTTAGATGCATCACATTCTGCATATCACCTACAGATATTTGTATCTATGACTGAGTGATAAGCAAGCAGAAGATACAGGTTAAAAATTATTGTCTGAAAAAAGCTGTGAAAATTTGTCAGTGAATCTGAGCCATGTGTTAACATTTAATTGCTTCCTAGTAAACATATCTTTTCAGTTAAATCTACTGAAAAGAAAAATAATATAATAAATACCTTTTTACTAGCACTTCATTTAGAAATTTAGGAACTATAGACTGATCTGATATAAAGGATATACTTCTCAACATGTTCACAATCTGAAAATTACACAGAAATCATATGTCTAAGTTAAAGCAAAAGATGCTTATTTTGGTAAACTTGATATACCATCTCTTAAATTCAAACAAAACAGTTATGTTATCTTGATTTACCAGGTCACTACCATTTTAAGTTCTAATTGCTTCTAACCAAACTTTCATTACTGTTTCATTAACCATTTGAAATATATTTAAACTAGCCCTGATTCACTCTTATTTGATATTCTTTGAAAACCAAGTAAGTGAAACCACTAATTCAGAAAGTAAAATTGTTTTATTCTATTCTTGATTTGTGCTTGATAATGACAAGGACACTTGTCGAAACGTCGCGCTATATGTGTATAAACCAGTGATTGTTTTTCCATATAAAATGCGTTATGTTTTTTTTTATTCTATTCTAAATTAACATACAATTTGATGAAATTATGTTTTAAAGCTTACCTCATCAGCACACTGATCTAAATGATCAATGTCATCAGTCATAGTCACTGATTCTAATTCAAGTATCAATAATATCTGTAGTTGATATCTAAACAGAAAACGAGAGACTAGGTTATTTCAATAGTTCATATGCAGTGGGAGAAAACCATAGAAAACCCACATTGTTAAGCGGTGGACACACTAGCTGAATCAATCTGCGTCAAAATTTGCCTGGTGTGTCCACTCACCACTGTCATTGATATATTATGTTTGATATATTCGCCTAGTGTCTGAAGCATTCGCCCATTTGTAGAATTCATTAGACAATCATCACTAATCATTCACTCATATCGAGAAGTCACGTGATTGATTGAAGACATTGTCGCCGCCATGTTTAATCATGTGACGTAAATGGTGATGCAATCGACTGGCGAATCTTCGCCTAGTGTGTCAACCCATTTAGCCGAATAAAATTTGGCGCCAAATGATTCAGCTAATGTGTCCACCACTTAAGGCCAACAACCCTAGTCCTTGTCTTGCTTCTTTCCTTGCTTATATTGGACATAAATTTATCATTATTAATTCAGTTGATGTAATGAAACTATACACCAAATTTCGGGTACGGGACAATTCGTCCCCTGACAACTTGTCCCCGGACAATTCGTCTCCAGATAATTTGTCCCCGGATAATTAGTCCCCTAGGACTATTCGTCCCTTAGGACTATTCGTCCCTTAGGACTATTCGTCCGCAGATAATTCGTCCCCTAATTATGATCAACAGCTGATTCTAACTGATGTCTGGTCTACATTGTTTTATCATACACAATAATGCATATTGATTTTAGTCAAGTGCAGTATTGACAATGGACAATACCCATAGTCCAGTAAGTTAGGGTCCGATATGCACGAATATTGAAAGGAACCAAGATCTTTTGGATATATTTTAAGTTTCATCAAGATCGGATACACATGAATATATCGAAAGTAGCCGAGATCTTTTGAATATATTTTAAGTTTCATCAAAATCGGATCAAAATTGGCTAATGAATTCTAAAATCAGGCAAATGCTTCAGCGAAGCAGGCACACTAGAGGAATATAAAAATGACAAATGAAAATTTGGCCGAATATATCAAACATGGTTGATTTGGGTGAAAAAGAGATTCAGCCGAATGATACTGGACACACTAGGCAGTTTGTCCACCACTTTATAGATAAGTCATTGTCAATAGAGAATGGGTATTAGGATAAAAAAATTGTACATATTCCTACCCTTTCATGGTCAAGTCAAATAATCAACAAACATCATAATTTAGAGTTTAATCTCAGTTGTTGTAACAGAGAGAGAGAGAAATGGGGTTTAACGGCCACTCGACACAAACTAGGTCATTAGCAGTGGGAGGAAACCGGAGGACCCAGAGAAAACCAACGAGGTTGGACAGGCGACCCTACTCCATGTCAAACCGGGATTCGAAACCACGCCAGTTGACTCAATGACAGGCTGTATCAGTTGTTGTAACAAATGGATGGATTACTTACTCTGTAAGTTTTTCTTTATTTTCTTGTTCTGAGATTTTACCCAAATATTTTTCTCGTAGTTTTGAATTGTTTAGCATCACTGACCTACCAATCAAAATTTTGGCTGATTCCTTTAAAAAAAAGTTAGATTTCAAAGACATAAATCTCATTTATTGATTTCTAATCAAATATAAATTTTCAATCAAGTACAGTTTTTTATATTTAGTGATATCTTTATAATAGGAAAATAATCCATAACAACTAACAACAAATAGACAAAATGAAAGTCAGTAGTACAGTGAAAAAATAAAACTGATTGAAATTGACTAACAAAAGAAGTAAAATCTAACCTCTGGCTGTTGATGATTATTTGATTTCATATAATGTAGAACAACTGTAACTATAGTATGAACAGATGATTCCAACTGATCTCCTTTCTCTAAACAATTCTCATAAACATCTTTTATATATTTACTTACATCTTCATCATTCTCAAGATCTGTAATTAATACATATAACTTAATTATTCAAATATTTATCCTCTGATAACAGTTATTACATAACCTTATCAAAATAAACAAGCTAACAGGAAATCAAACTACTGGTAAATCATTATCAGATGGTAGTGGACAGTAAGCATACCATGCCTTGTGCATACACCCACCAACAATATTGAAGTGTGTAAGATAAAACACAATGCAAAATTTATGTTGTTTGCAATTTAAAATATTTCATTATTTACAAAAGAATACTCACTGATGTTTGAAAAGTCTAAATTATTTCTGAATTCATCCTTAACCTTTTGGCTACTGCCCACAATTTCGGTACTTTGACGTTTTTGTACATTTTTACTACGATTGATTATAATGTCTGTACGTGATAATGTTGACGATTGACGTTTAAGTGGGTATCCACCCTCAACGACTGTAGATGACATTTTTACATCTTCGGCAGAAATTGCATTTTCATCTGAAATATTATATACATTGTTTACATCCACATCATGCATTTGTAATATTACATAAATATTTTAAGCAAAATATTTGACATCAGAGATTTCTTTTAATTGTCATATAGACAATTATGACTAGTGCATGAAATAGTCCATGAGAAAATTCGGATCTCCCATCAAATGAACAACCCTCATTATATACTCTATTGTTTGTGGAAACAAAGCATGGATTCCATGTCGGTTGCATATGGGCTATTTTCACAAAAACGTATAAATAACGAAATAAATGGTATACCGAATATGTGATATAAAATTTTCGCAACCATCAAAAACCAGCGGCTGCCAGGCAGGATACGCCCTCATTTTGCAAGAGATGGATAGAGAACAAGCTAAAAACAAACGCGATTTTTTGTACAATCAGGGGCAATAATCCAGAAAGTATGCAAATATCAAATAGGATTGAGATCTTTGGTATATAAAGATATGTTTTAAGTTTCATCAAAATCTACACACTTCTACACAATTTGCATACAAAGAGCGGCCATTTTGTCGGGCAGTTTCATTTCGATTTTCCCGAAATACGAATTCAACCTTCATGATGGTGGAATGGTGATGCATTTAAAAGGTTTTTAAAATCAGAAAAAATTGTGACATCTACAGGGACCATAAGCTAAAAACGTGATTTTTTGTTCAATCAAGGGCCATAATTCAGGAAGTTACGATCCGATATGAGCGAATATCGAAAGGAACCTATATCTTTGGGTTATAAACATGTATTTCGAGTTTCATTGAAATCTGATCAAAATTGTGACCTCTAGAGGGTCCACAACCTTGATCTACTAGATGTTTACACTATTTGCGTACTAGGGGCGGCCATTTTGTCCGACAATTTCGGCCTGATTTTCACCAAATTCGAAGTCAACCATCCTTAGGGTGTAAAGGTGATATATTCAAACAGATTTTTAAATCGGATAAAAATTGTGACCTCTATGTGGTCCACAAGCTAAAAACACGAATTTTCGTACAATCAGGGGCCATAATTCAGGAAGTTATGGTCCGATATGCGCGAATATCAAAAGGAACCAAGATCTGTTATTATAAACATACATCTCAAGTTTAAACCCAAATCGGATAAAAATTGTGACCTCTACAGTGTTCACAAGCTAAAAAAGTGATTTTTAGTACAATCAGGGGTCACAATCCATGAAATTACAGTCCGATACATGCCAATATCATAAGGAACCGAGATCTTAGGGTGATAAACCTATATTTCAAGTTTCATTGAAATCAGATAAAAATTGTGACCTGTAGAGTGTTTACAAACAATTGTGGACGGACGGAAAGGGGCAACGACAATATACGTCCACATGAAAATGTGGGCGTATAAAAATTATATTTTGTGCATCAGCATGGAAATAGATTATTCAAAATAAAATCAGTATGTCAAAATGTCTATTCCGTTACTGCTCATTCTCAAATCTGAACTTGAAAATCTAGTTTTAAAATTGAAAGGTAAAAATTACAGTGCTTTTGAATAAGCCACCCAATAGAGCTGAATACAATGTCCTTTTAGCTATTTAAAGAAGAAATAGAAATCAACTATATCAAATATTGTTTCTGTCAAAATTTTCAGAACAATTTGTCTTTTCCGTTAATGCTTTGTTAGTGATTTAACCATATTCCACATTATCAATTTGTCAGTAGGTGTCAAGCAGGAAAATCCCACATAACAGAAAGAAACAGTTTATAGAAAGTAAAATCCAACCACATGGTTGTCACACAAATTGTATGTATCTTCTGTTGGTCTGTTCCAAGATATAAAACACTGACTGATGGAGAGGTTTTAAGTCAGAATAAGGTAGAATGTATCTTCTGTTGGTCTGTTCCAAGATATAAAACACTGACTGACGGAGAGGTTTTCACTCAGAATAAGGTTGTCAAAGTGTTAATATCATGCATGTCTATGCAATGTGAATGAGTGCAGACAGTCAAAGTATGTCTTTTCTGTTATAAATAATGATAACGGTAAACACTTCTTTATCAGGATAGGCAAAAGAAAAGGTATTTTGTTAAAATTATATTGCGTAAATGCTTTTCTTTTTTTTTCTAATGGTATTCAAACATTTATTTAGACAACTGGAGTCAAATTAATGACTTTTTGTCTTTTCCGTTATGTCTTTATTGCTAACATGGTCTTTTACATGGTAATAACTGACAATTGGTTGCCATGCAAGATACACCCACATTTTTCAAGAGATAGACAGAGAACTAGCTCCAAAAAAGAATCAGGGGCCATAATCCCGGAAGTTACAGTCCAATATGTGAATACCTACAGGAACCTAGGATATTCGGTAACCATATTTTAAGTTTCATCAAAATCAGATAAAAATTCTGACCTCTAGAGGGTCCACAACCTTGGTATTACATACTTTTACACTATGTGCCGACAAGGAGCAGCCATTTTGTTGGGCAGTTTCGATCCAATTTTGACGAAATTCTAACTCAACCATTATTATGGTGTAACAGTGAAATATTTAAAAGGTTTTTAAAATCAGATAAAAATTGTGACAAAATATACGCCCACAGCAGCTAAATCGTCCGAGCAGTCGACAAGGGTTGTCACATATTTATTCTTTTGTAGGTAATTAGGGGAATTTAATGGACAATTTCATACAGATAACATTATAATTTTCGTCGTTTGAGGGTTCACAAGGTTCCAATAACTAAAACAAGGAACGTAACTCTGGAAGTAATCTACAGAAATTGTTGAAATTCGACAGGCTTTTTCGTTTTACTAATTCGAATAATGCATATAAATTTCATACAGATCGGATGATAACTTTTGTCGTTCGAACGTTCACAAGGTTCAACAAAGTAAAACAAGGGCCATAACTCTAGAAGTAATTTACGGAAATTGCTGACATTCAATAGGCTTCTTCATTTCACTAATTTAAATGATGCATATGAATTTCATACAGATTAAGTGATAACTTTCGTCGTTCAAGCGTTCACAAGATTCAACAAAGTTAAACAAGGGCCATAACTCTAGATGTAATTAACGGAAATTTGCTGAAACTCAATAGGCTTGTTTGTTTTACTAATCTAAACGATACATATAAATTTCATACAGATCGGATAACTTTTGTCGTTAGAGCATTCACAAGGTACAACAAAGTGAAACAAGGGCCATAACTCCAGAATAAATTAAGAGAAGTTATTGAAATTAAATAGGCTTCTTCATCTCACTAATGCAAACAACATATATCAATTTCAAAACAATCAGATGATAAATAAATGTAGTCTGTAGAGTGTTCACAATATACAACCACATTTCCATGTGATTTTTTAAACAATCAGGGGACATAATCCATATATACGCAGTCATTTTGTCAGGCAGTTTCGATCTGGATTTGATGAAATTCTAACTTAACCATCATTATGGTGTAACGGTGATATATTTAAACGTTTTTAAACTGTCCACAAGCTAAAAACAAGATTTTTTGTACAATCTGGGGACATAATCCAAGACGTTACGGTCCGATATGCGCGAATATCGAAAGGAACCAAGATCTTTGGGAAATAAAACATATTTTAAATTTCTTTAAAATCGGATCAAAATTGTGACCTCTAGAGGGTCCACAACCTTGGTATTGTATACTTTTACACTATTTGCGTACAAGGGGCGACCATTTTGTCAGGCAGTTTCGGTCAGATTTTCACTAAATTCAAACTCAACCACTTTATGGTGTAAGGGTGATATATTCGAACGACTTTTTTAAATTGGAAAACATTTGTGACCTTTAGAGGGACCACAAGCTAAAATGTAATTTTTCGTACAATTAGGCGCCATGATCCATTAAGTTACAATCCAATATGCAAGAATATTGAAAGGAACCGAGATCTCTGGGATATAATCATATCTTTTAAGTTTCAACAAAATCGGATAAAAACTGAGATGTCTAGAGGGTCCACAACTTGGTATTACATACTTTTACACTATTTGCGTACAATGAGCGGTCATAGTGTTGGGAAGTTTCAATCCGATTCTCACAAAATTCAAACTGAAGCATCATTATGTAGTAAAAATTGATCCCATTCAATTGTCTGTAATTGGTTTGTGTTACCTGTTTCTATTGATTGGAAGTATAAAAGTCAATAGGCCTAATCGCTTCATCTCATGACCTTAAACACTGTATAAATCTAAAGTCAATCTTTTTTATGATTTTCTTCGTAAATAGATCAAACATTCAAATTTTTCAATAAGCAGTTTGACTCTTTTTTTTTTATCAAACCAATATTTGTCTAAATTTAATTGGTGGTGGAATTATTCTAATTTTTTTTTCCTATAAAATTAAGAAAACTACCTATAATGTTCAATTCACCCATTGGTTTAAGATCTGAAATTTTAGGTGGTCGACTCTGCTTCCTGTAAAACTTTTGAAGATTTTTCAGTGTTTTCTTTTCAGTAGCATTGAGAAACTCCAAATCATGTAATCTATAAAAAAAAGGATGAATACTATTGATTGTAAATAAGCTACGTCAATGATGAGACCTGTCATAGATAATATCACATATAAATAGATGAACAAGCCAATAGAGAGGCTGATGTCCCCTGCCGAAATCCCAAAATAAATAGATGACACATATTAATTAATCGCAGCTTTTTTTTTTTTTTCAAAAATATTGAGCAATCAATCCGATTATCAACTATACACTAAGTTTCATCACTCTCTATCAGATAGAATCAAAGTTATCTTGTCCCAAAGCATTGACCAATGAAATTGCTTAAATCTGATTAGCTTTAGCTCGAAATCTTAATCACTGAACTCAGTCAAGACATTCACCCAATGAACACCTACATTAAGTTTAAACATTCTACCTCAATTAAAAGCAGAGTTGTTATCACTGTAACCCAGGTATCATTTAATCTTGTGTATCTAGCACTCATTTCTTTCACTTTCGTTTAATATCAAAACATATATATAGACCCTCAAGTTTACTAAATGTTATTGTGCTTGATAACGATAAGAGAATACTTATCGAAACGTCGTGCCTGTGTATAATAAACCAGTGATTGTTGTCCCATATAACTGTATAGTTTTGTTATGTTTCCAATTGCTTAATGCCACTAAAGGATTATATCAAATCTTTGTTTAAAAATTCGTAAAAATCGTTTAAAATCACCAAAAATCATCTAATTTGTACTTGTGTCCAGTTTAAAGCTGACTGATTAATTTTGATAATGAGTGTCCAATTTACAAGTATCCAATTTCCTGACCACTGTTCAAAAATTAATCATTATACATCATTAGTCAATTGGGTTGTTTATTTTTTTACAGTGATTGAGAAATTAAATACCAGTCAAATTGCTTATTGCTCTTTAGCCTAAGCAGAATATTCTCACCATCGAAATTAGTCAAGTTAAAGTTATCGTGCCCCAAAGCATCAACCAATCAGATTGCTTATCTCTGCTTATGTAAGCAGACAATGTTCATCATCGAACTCCATCAAGGCATTCACCTAATGAACGCCCACACCAAGTTTGAACATTCGACCTCAATTAGAAGGAGAGTTATTGTGTTCCAAAGTCTTGACCAATCAAATTGCTTATCACTCTGCTTACCCTCAGCAGAAAATGTTCATTACCAATTTAGTCAAGGTATTGATATTATCGTGTCCCAAAGCATCAAGCAATCAAATTGCTTATCTCTTCGAAAGGCGGGGGACAACTATAAAAAATATAAAATTAACCTGTATTGTATTTGTAGATTTGTTAAGATGTCTAAAGATACAGCTTAGCAACAATTTAAGACATCTTCACATGCATGAGTCTACTCCACTGAAAGCTGAATATTTGGGTCAAATATACCCCTTATCTGCCAATACTGATTTTAGTTTAGTTGTGATTTATTGTATAAATTTACCTCTGATTCAACTTAACGATTAAAGATTCTATGGCTGGTGATGTTCCTGGTAAATGACATTTATCTAACATCTGAGAATTAAACACTCTCTTTTTATGTTTAGTGATCCCTGAAAAAAACAAGAAGGGAACCCACATGAAGCAAAAAATAGAAAATTTCATCATTCATCAGACCAGAATAATTATTTTTGCCAATCTGATTAAAATACAGATCTATATTTTGTTTCGTTTTTTTATATTTTCAATGGCCTACACTACATGAAGATCTGACAAGTTATAGCGATAGGTCACGTCAGGGGTCAAAAGACCGACTTTTGACCTATGACATCAGACATTTGATGAACCAATCAGCATTGATGTTACTAGTGGATTACCCACAGTTCCGGGAAAAAATTGAAACGAAATAGGATCTGTGTTTTAACCAGATTGTATTTTTGCAAGCCAGCCAGAAATAAAGAGAGAGGAATGAAGTTAACAAGAGCATCGTTAAAGCTGCAATATACGTCCATATTCCTTTCATTTATATGGTACTTTTTAAAATGAAGAGAATAAAATATGAAATGACTGCAAGGACTGTAATGTAAAAAGACAATTAAAAGACGAAACATTAACAAAAAAGTGGGTGTGACAATGCCCCAGGGAGTCGGGGCATGCAAGAAAATAAATAGTTGCTGTCTTTACCATATAAAGAATAAATATGCAAAGTTCTAAGATGATCATAAGTATGTAAAGTTTCAAGACAATCACTTAAGAATTGCAGTCTGTAGACGATAAATACAAAAATTGGATGTGGCTCTGCCCCTGGGGGTTGGATATGGAACAATATAAATAGGTACAACCCTGTTACTGAAATGATTGATATGCTGAATTTGAACAAAATCTGTTAATTATTGCAACATGCAGAGTATTTACAGATAAAAACATGCTAACATCAATAGTTGCTGTTCTTAGGGTATAAGGAATAAGTATACTAAGTTTTGTGATATAGTCTGGCAGACCTATGACTGAACCTGGAAATTGTATACAAAGTTTTTTTTTATGATTGATTTTAGTAGCCTAGGGTGTCCTCGTTCCCCAAAAACATACGGTTAGACACCAAAATTATCATCCTAGAATAAATACTATGGGAGCTATAGGGGATCATTTGATGTGGCGGTCGCCTTGGACGCCATCTTGAATTTCTCAAAACGCTCAAGGGTGACCGAGCTTCACCCGACAGATTCTGAAAGAGGACACCATAGGCTACTAAAATCAATCATATAAAAATTTCCAGGTTCACTCGAAAAATTGGGTTTGGCTACCGGACTAATAGTCCATTCAGAATTGTGTCCTTTTTACACTAAACGAAAAAATTGGGCGTGGCTCTGTCCCTGGGGGCCAGGGCATGCACCAAAATCAATCGTTACCACCCTTAGGCTATAAGGAATACATATGCCAAGTTTCAAGCTGATCTATTCAGAATTGCAGTCTGTATACGATAAACACAAAATCTGGGTGTGGCTCTGCCCCTAGATGTTGGGCATGCACCAGAAACAATAGGGATGTTCCTTAGGGTATAAAGAATAAGTATGCAAAGTTTCTAAATGATACGTTAAGAAATGCAGCCTGTAAACGACAAACAAATACAAAAAATGGGCGTGGCTCTGCCCCTGGGGGGTCGGGCATTCAACAAAAACAAAAGGGATCATCCTTAGGGTATAAGGAATAAGTATGTAAAGTTTCAAGACAATCACTTAAGAATTGCAGCCTGTAGGCGACACACACACACACAGACGGGCGATATCAATATATGTCCACATTATGAATGAAAACAACTATTTAACAAATTAACTATGCATTCCACAACTTATATTTTTAGATCATCAATTAACCCTTTTATGGGGATAACAACATTAATGTCTTTTCCCTGACACATCTGCTTTACAGCGATAGCGACTGTAAGTCACCATAGTAACAAAGTACACAATTGGCTGTATGAGATAATTCTGTCTTTATTGACCAATGGGTGAAAGAAATACATGATCTAATTTATAAGAATGGTAACTCTTATAATATTGTTTTGATTTGAAGCCGGATATTACCGTTACTACGCAATAACATAAACAGGTGGTCGGGGACAACAACATGGCGTATGCAATGAACCCCCGTAAGCGTCTCACCCTAATGCGTTCACTTAAAATGATGTTGTTGACTTGTTGAATATTTCTGATGAAGAAAATTGTTCATCTGATAAAGGTAATGACATTGATATTAATGAACTTTCTGAATATGGGTCAGATTCCAGTGAATTAAGTGAACCAGAAAGAGAACAATATAAATTTTAATGGTCAACAATCGGGCCAGTGGATTGGTTTCTATGACAACAACAAGAGTCCCAAGGACCTTAATCGCTGATCAATTAACAGACTGTGTGCATTTAAGATTTCATCTGAACTTATCTTAATATTAATAATAAGCACAACCCTGGCAATAAATTCAAAATTTAACTGAATTTCATTAATGTTGGAAATTACCACTAATAAGAAGATACGAAGTAACTTTATATGGACAAATCCAGACAAGCACTCCCAATATATGAGCGCTCACTGAAATGTTCTAAGTCTGAAAAGGATAGACCAAATGGGTTGAAACAGACTTTTGCCACCAAGTACAATCATTGAATGAATCATAGACATAAGAATTCGTACCAGACCATCTTGTCAACCTACCCATCCAAATCACTAGAAATGGACAAAACTGGCTATAGGGCAGTCATCAAGTACCTGCAACTGAAAGGAATAATACAGATACATGCCGACAAGGTCTCCACTTAAGGGGATGATTCCCTTTCTTTTTCCACAGTAAAGGAGAATTTCAGCATGGCAGAGACGGCCTTGGCATCCATTCAAGAAACCATTACCCGGGAGCATGACATAGTGATGGCTGATCGATGATTGACCACTCAACATATTGCCAGTGTTGTGGACATCTCTCATGAGAAGGTTGAGCACATTATCGCCAGCAAGTTAGGAATGACAAAAGTTTCTGCAAGATGGGTGCCAAAGCCCTTGACAGCGGATCAGAAACGTGTCAAATTCCTGTTAATTTTTTGGCCAGATTTATAACCATGGATGAGACACGTTTCTAAATATGAGAGAAAATGGGGTTTAACTAGATCATTTCGGGACTAACATATGGGTAAATTTTATTTCATTAATTAGCTTGGGAGGAAATCCAAGAAATCCCATGAGGCTGGACAGGCGACTGTACTCCTTGGCACGTACAAGCGGGGAATCGAAACCATGCCACTCGACACAATGACAGACCTTATGATGCAACGCGCACGCGTCAACCATTCAACCATTCGGCCACCCAGTTCCCCCAAGAATGAAAAAGTAACTAGCCAATTGTCATTTTCATAGTAATGATGATGTCATGTCAGCTGTGAACGACTTTTTTTAGCGTGGCTAAAGAAATTTCTTCCTGACCGGCATCCAGGCCTTGCAACATTGTTTGCAAAAGTGTGTACACCTCGAAGGAGACTATGTAGAAACCATCAAATTTGTACAGGTCTTTCACAGATATGCTTAGAACTTTTTTAAGCCAGCCCTCGTACCTACCAAATTCTTTTAAAATCCATCAAGCAATGTGACCCTGCCTCTTAAAATGCTAAAATATAACTAATTATTTTCTTTGCAAGTACAGAAATAATGACATTAGCCTTTAAAGCTGACTGCCTGAACACAACGACTGTAATATATTCTGATACAACTGCACAATGTGTAACTTAAGTTTTCAAAAATGATGGTGGGAATCACTTCCATTCACTGATGGACACATTTCCCAATGTTGGAGTAAACATATCCACCAATTTAAATGTCCAAAAGACATTGGCACTGAAGACAGACTAAGAACCCTTAAAAATATGACCTACTACAAACATAATACAATAACCTGTTGCATGTTTCTGTATTTGATATGACTGTTTGTTATATTGATGTCCTAAAGCTTCTATTTTTGACTTTGATAAATTCTTTCCAAGTTTTATATCTTCTTTTGTTGCTTTATTGTTGCCATGACAATTTATTTCTCTTCTACTCTCTTCTTGTTGAAAGATGGCTTTCTCAATCTAAAATATGAAGGAAAAAAAGTTAATCAATTCTTAGACCCACCTCCTTTTGATTTCAATTTTGCTAATAAATGAGAATTAGAACGAAACCAATATTTATTAACTATGTTTCATAGAAGCTCTAAATAAACAGATAAATTCTATCATAAAATTGGTACAAAACTATACAACAGAATTTAGAGCAACAACTTAAGTTATTGTATAATTGTTATAGATATAGTGGTTAGAAAGAAACTCCTACTTGTAATGATGAGCCAATTTTATATAATGTCAACACACCACTGGCTGTATTGATAGGCTCTAAGGTGGCAACATAAGGAACAATGCTTGCAGTAAACAGAATCTGCAAATATGAAATATTCTAATAAAAGTAAAAACGTTTTACAGCTTTACTGTACACACACAGCAGGTTTTTCAATACATGTTTAACTCAGATGAAAATAAAGTCAAAACATCTTTTTAACACTAGCAAGATAGTACTATATGGACCAGGAGCCGAGTATGATATTAATAATCAACACCATCATCTTGGAATTGTGACAGAACAAAAATCAAAGCCTGTCAATCGATGTGCAATTGTCCAAGGGACAAGCACGCCAAGTTTTATTTCGATTCTACTTGAATTGGTACAGCCCTAGATTTTTTACAAAGAAATGAAATGGGGTTTAACCTCGTACTGTTTTGTTTTTACAAAGAGCATTGCCCAAAGGAGAGAATGACAAGATGGTTAGCAAAGTTCCTGGTCCAAATAAAAGCTGTATAAAATATATTTACAAAGAATCAATTTTTGTCACTACGGGTATACATTCCAAAAAGCAATTAAAACAGGTGAAGGTGGAGAATACATGTATCAAGGACGATAAAACATACCAATATTTTATGTTGTTTCAACATGTCTTGTAGTAGTGTCTGTAATACACTTTTATCATCACCTTTCACACTATTACAAATAAAAGTCTTACAAATATGAATATTGTGCAAATCATGGTCCTTCTTTTCTACAGAACCAATTACTTTATAAAAACCTGGTTTTACATCCATGTTATCATCTATATTCTTATCACCAACCATAGATATAGAAATCTTCTCTTTAATATTATGTGATTTAATATTATTAATATCACTACACAAAGTAATCAAAATGTTATTATCCTCAATTTCACCAACAGAATTGCTGGTACAAGGACTGAAAATAAACAAAAACAAATATTTGGTTTACAGTTAACATTAATAATAAAATGAACAATGACACTGATTCTGTTTGAACTAAAATATTTATGAATGATTTTGTTATTTATAAGATAGGTTGCAAGGCAACCAAACATACGCCCACAGCAGCTAAATCGTCTGGGCAGTCAACAAAGAGAGAGAAATGGGGTTTAACATCCACTCGACACAAACTAAGTGATTTCGGGAATTACACATGGTTCAATTTTATTTCAATAATTCGCTTGAGCATAGGGGTCTTTAGCAGTGGGAGGAAACTGGAGGACCTGGAGAAAACCCACGAGGTTGCAAGATTTTTCAAAGTGATCAAGGGCCATAACTCTGGCAGTAATTATCAGAAATCGTTGAAATCAATAGACTTTGGCGTCTCATGACCTTTAACACTGTGTATATATTGGATATTAACTTCAGCCGACAGATAGGGGCGACAGCAATATATGACCACATTTCAATGTGGGCGTATAAAAAGGAAATAATATGAAGTATCTGTAACCCACGGGGTTAGGTGGGCTACCATATTCCTACGGTAACTTATTTGCCTCACAAGCGTCCACAACATTTTAACAAGAGTGTTTCTTGTGGACGCAGGACAGATAGGGGTGAGGACAGCATACGACCCATTTCAACGTGGGCGTATAAGAGCCTCTAGAGCATAAACAAGATCTATCAAGTAAAAATCGGAAAGCGCTGAAAATCAATTTATATATAAATTTAAAGTGAGTCAGGTAATAATTTTAGCCAGATGGCGCTAACAACAATATACATCTACATTAAATGTGTGGACTATAATAAGTTCTGGCTTATTATGACCGGCACTTAATATTATTGCTCTATTTTAGACATGAAAAGACCGGTTCCCCTGGCAACTAAACATTTGTCCACAGATTTGGGAAATCGACCCCCTCGAAAAAATCTGGAAAAAATGTATGTTATTGTACATGCAAAAACTAGAAACTGTGCAAAATTTGTGGTCTGTATATTTACATGACTGGGATACAGCCATTTGAGTTTCATGAGTTAACGATAAGTTTTCGAAACAAAATATGTATCAATAATTTACTTGATTTTCACTCACATTTTGTCGTAACTTCTACTTTTCGACTTTCATGTTTTGAAGAGGCGAAAAGTAGAAATTATGAAGGGTAGTTATAGGCTTCCATAGATATCACATATAACATATTGATTCTTTTAAGTAATGCAAGCATTTACAAGACACTAGTAACTGGTTCTTCCCCATGCTAACAATTATTATACAAATCAAAAGGCTTCCAGAGCTTCCAAAGATATATAACTTAGTTAAAGTTTGTTTTAAAATAATAGAAAACACTATGCTGCAAGATGAGCTTATTGACATTTAGCTAACAAATGCATTATGTCAGTATAAAAACATATATATTGAGGGTGGTCTATTTTAAAATTAAACAAACTTATTGGTTTTTATAATATTAAAATGCACCTTTGAGTATTCAAGTCATAACTTGTGTTTGTTAGTAGTACTGGTACAGATATACATTTGTCACCTGAAAAACAATAAAAAACACATGATTCATAAGCTTATACAAATAAACAGCTTTAATTCAGATCCCATCAAAAGAAAAGAGCTCATTTTGAAAACATATGTTTCATGAGTAGAATCCATGACAACTCGGACCAAAGACCACTCAGACCAAGACCAGTTGGACCAAATGATGGACCACTCAGGAAATTGTATAATGAAGAGACCCTAAGCACCAACCATCTAATAAAGAAGTGTGGGTCTTTATATGGTACGAGCGAGTAGATGAACCCGTACCTCACATCTAGTAACAAAGGCATTATGTTACTTAACTGTAAATTATGGCTATGATATTAAGTTTGTACTGTTACCGTGACTATGCTTTAATAATAAATAAATAACAATATATTTATTGTCAGTATTTATTTTTAAAATGTCGGCTATCATTTCTGTGAACATCCTGCTGAAAGAAGGCCTCTGGAATGGCGTCCAAACCAACCTAAATATTAGTCCGAGTGGTCTTATAATATAAATTAATCGGTCTGAGTGGTCTTTTTGGTTGGTCCGAGTGGTCTATGAATTGGTCCAAGTGGTCTTTGGTCCGAGTTGTCAGGATACCCCTGAGTACATGCACATGTACATTTAACTGCATTAGCAGAGTTTTTTTTTTAAAAAGGATGAAAACTCATAGAACTTGAGTAGTATAACTTTAAGTTACTGGAGCAGATCCAAGCTTGAAAAGTTCCTTTCCTACAGTTGATTGACTTAAATTACTATACACTGTACTTACCTTCTAAAAGACTTATGCATCCTTCATAGCTATTGTTAGAAGTATCAATATTGGGAATACCAAATTTAATGTTGAAGACTGATGCTGTGGACAACTTTTTCACAAACTTTTCAAAGGAGAATCCAAATGTTTCTTTCTCACTACTAGAAGGATCAACCAGTGGTAGATTCAAAATAAGTCTTAATGAAAAGGCAGAACCACCAATTTTTCGGAGTGAATTATCAATTATTTCAGAAGCTTTTGTTTCCTGAAAATAACAAAGATAGGTTGCCTGGCAACGAAACATACGCCCACAGCAGCTAAATCGTCCAGGCAGTCAACAAGAGTTGTCGCACATTGATAATACTTTTTTCGGTAAAGAAACATTTATAATACACTAAAATCTGATTAAGAGTAACAGCAACAACTCATTATGTAATTATCAGAAAATCATTAGAATTTGTTTGGCTTTTATAAAGTTCTGCCCCATGCTAACATTTTTTATACGAAATGTTTAATATCATGGATCTAGCTGTTCAAGTTATCAAAATTCATTGAGAATCAATATACTTGTTTGTCTCAAGACCTGTAACTCTGTGTATCAATCTAAAGTCAATCGGATAATAACTTTGGCCTCTAGTCTAGAGCATCTACAAGATTTTTTAAGTGATCAAGGGCCATAACTCTGGCAGTAATAATAGGAAATCGCTGAAAATCAATAGGATTTTCATCTCATGACCTTAAACACTGTATAAATTTAAAGTCAATCGGATATTAACTTTAGCCTCTAGAGGACGCCAGACCGAAAGACGGGGGCGATGACAATATACGACCACACTTCAATGTAGGCGTATAAAAAGGGAATAAACATGTACCTTTATTTAATGAAAAATTTATAAACAAAATTAAATGAAATTGGCTTTAACGTCCTACTAATCATGATAGGCATACGCCATACAATGTGATATGAGATAAATTTTGCCTGGACAGCAGCGCTACGACCTACTCTTATATCGAATTCCAACTGCCAGGGATCTTTTACGTGCATGCCAATATGTACACGGCACCTTGGTTTTAGAATCCCATCTGAATGACTAGACATTAATAATTTAAATTAATAATAATAAAATGGTCAATGATGAGTAATAAACAGTAATTGTATTCCATATAATTGTTTCCTGTGTTCGTACTGTGTTCGTACATATGTGAGTGTCAGTGATGAAGTTTTACTGAAGTCTCAGGGGGCAAGGGACTGAACCAAACGAGGTACTCAAACTGTGATAATGGTACCGGTGTGACAGTGTGAGATGGTTCCTGGTGTTTAATTACCGTTTAGCGCATGCGCAGTTGTAGGAGTGACGGTCAAATCGGTTTCTACACTATTAATTATCAACCAATATTTACAGTGTTACTATCAGGAGAGGGTGTCGAGTATCTATTGTTTGTTTATTTCGATAAAAAGTAGAAATACAAATTGACAATCTTTATTAATATTCAGTAGGCCTATATTCCCGTCCACAATGTGGAAAATTTAATATACATGTACAATAATTGTCCCTTGTGCAATTTGCATGCGTGTTTGAACCCAAATTTACAAGGGTGATAAATATATATTCACGTTCAAGAAATGGGTGTTCTAAGATTTAGTTTTAATAAGAAGTATATATGTACAAAATTAAAATAACAATGATGCAGAGATATCCCAATCATATCAAGGCCAATATTCAATCTGCAAAATAGTTAATTATTACAACATAGTTAAAACATCTACAAGTGAAAAGCGTTGCTGTGCTATCCAAACCTCGTATCTCGTTTTTTGCCAAATTTACATTTTTGCTTGATCAGAATCAAATTTCTGCCGCGCATCATCTATCAAAAGTTTGTACCTCTATACCAATTAGAAATAGGATTTTCGAGCATGTGACAATTTCTCGGAATCTGATTCGCCAACAATAATTTCTCCAAAACATCTTATCTCTGACAAAATATCAGATCTCGGTACCACTTGGCAAAAGCAGACGACATGGATGTTTTGTGTACTTTGAAGTCACTTTTAAATGCTGTATGAGGTAAACCATAACTAATCCTGAACAAAAACATTAATTTCTTAAAACAGTAAGTCACTAATTTGCATATACAGTATATCGAATTACAATAACAAATACTTTGATTAAGTATTTTCAGTGGTTTGGTGTTATTTAGTTACAATTTGTATGAAATAGGCTAAATATAAAATTGATTACAATTCATACTCATTATATAATTAATACATGCATCTTTTACTGATAATATACAAATAATTAAGATAATAGTGGGGAATTCTAATATACGATAATTTGACATAAACGACACTGATAAATTGTATACCCCATCAGTGAATAACACAAAAAGATACGACATTTTGACATTTTGTTTTTAATTTCAGAACGGTTTCTGTCTTTTAAATCTACATCAATACATGTATGTCTACTAGTCTGCCAAAAGACTTATCACTTGAGTTGGAAATAGAGGTGTTGCTTCAAACATTCCAACCCGAACTGTATTCAGGGGACAGTGATTCCAGTTATGATGAAGTCTGTTTAAATGTCTCCACAATAGATAAGCTTTTCGATACTACTAGTGAGCATGAAAATATAGAAAATAACCTAGAATTAAGTGACACACTTTTGGACTCTGATGACATTGTCAAAGATCCGGATTGGGATGAAGGTATATGGATAGATCACACACAAGTTAATGAATTAACTAAAGATAATGAAATAACTGAAGATAATGAAATAAATGATGATAAATCATAATGTCAGAAAAAAACGAAAATCAAAAGTTATGCAGTGGCAGAGAACTCAAAATAAGAACTAGACTTGTGAAAAAATGCATGTTGTGTAAATATGGTATTTACTTCATATTATTCTTTTTTAAAAAAACCCAAACAATTATTACTTTTACGGGAAACAATGATTATCAAAGAACCGTTAGTGCAGCTAATGTTTTATCGTTTAGTGGAGCCTTTTAATAACCATGTGTTTCATGTTAATATTTTCTTTCATGTTGTTAATTCATCGGCTACATTTTTATGTACATTTTACAGACATAAAGAAATAAAGCATTCTTTTCATTTGGAAATTTTGACGTTCCTTAAGAGGGTATGTGCGTGACCCACGATTCCACATGTTGTACTTGATGGAAAGCGTTAAATTTTACCTGCATGTTATTTTCATAAAATTGTTTTTAGCTTATTAATTATAAAATTATTTGACAGTTGTGTTCAACCTTTTCTGTCAACTTATTCCTAAGTCCGAAACGGGTGCAGGCTGTTTTGTAACCTGGCTGTTTCGTACTTAGTTCATTCGTACCTCGAATTGATTCTTACCTTTTCCTATGTTGTTGAAATCAGTAGAAAGAAATTGAATATGCCGAACCAGAATTAGAATATGCACGAGATTTGTACCTCAAATTGATTAGTTCCTTCTCCTAAATCCAAAGGCTGCACTAAATTTATAAAAATGGCTGCCGAACGAGAATTAGAATAAACACGTGATTTGTACCTCAAATTGTTGTTGAAATGAATTGAAAGAAATTAAAATAAATCTATATGTTGTTGAAAAAAATTGAAATAAACGATTATACCTGCCTTCCTTTAAATATGATGTTGATTATCGAGCCCATTCTGCTCAGTGAGTTGTGATTATTGACGACAGTTGATTGGTGATTGTTAAAGCAGTTTAAAAAACGAATGAAAAAGTATTTAATCCGGGGTTGATTATTGAACCCATTCTTTTATATCATGGACCGTATATACGGTCATATCACAGGGTAATTCTGTTATTGAAACCCAACTGCATGAAAATGACTTTCGATCGTAACCGATGTAAATTTAGTGAAATGCTGAAGCAATTTTAGTATAAATGTATCCTTTAATTGTGTGTGAATTACTACAATTGGGCAGGCTGTGTAATATAAATTTAGAGTAGCCGTTGGATTTGATCAAATCGTTTCACCTTTATTTCAATTTCTTTTAACTGATTTCAACAACATAGGAAAAGGTATGAATCAATTTCAATTTGAGGTACGAAGTGAAGTACGAAACAGCTCATGTGAGGTACGAATGAACTAAGTACGAAACAGCCAGGTTACGAAACAGCTGACATCCGTCCGAAACGCCACCTACCCGAGTTCGAAACGTCAGGGCCAAATTTTGTTCAGTCCGAAATGTTGTATGTCCGAAATGACGCAGGACCGAAATAACATGTAATCCTCATAACATTGTCTTGAACAGAAAAAAAGTAAATAAACTTACAGCAGACACAGAACTTTGAGGCTTAAGGTGTGTATCAATCCAGTATAAGGATAACTTGGATGTCAAGTGAAACATCTTGTATAAAGACTGTGACATAAATGAATCCATAAAAACATCTTCATCTATTACTTTTTTTCCACAAAATAATCTTAAATCTAGATTATTACGTGGCATACATGAATACAGAAATACAAAATTGTTTGACTGTGCAGAAAGTTTTGACATCTGCCTTTGCTTTTGGCCTTTTAAAGGTGATAAAAATTCTGGAATTTCCCATTGAAAATCATAAAGAACTTCATTCAGAGCCTTCGACAAATTATCTGCTGCACACGGATTTCTGGTCTTTCTGTTTGCTTCTCTACACTTAGGAGGGGAATTTGATTTCAGCAGTTTTGAAACACAATTTTCAAGTTCTTTTTCAAATTCTTCAAAGTACCGCAGCTTGAATTCCCTAAAATTTGAAAGTTTACGCCCAACTTTATACACTGATGAATCAAATAATTTGAAACTCCATTTCACACAATCTGTCTGCCTTCCATACTCATCACAATTATAATATCTAGATTCTGAATGAAAATAATGCAGAATACGAAATGAGCTTAAGGCTACGCTTTTGTGCAAATGCAATAATTTACTGGAATTGTCGTTCGAATCATAGTTTCTGAAAGCAGCGATGTCAATCAAAAACACTGTTTGGAATCTCTTTGGTGATCCCTCCATCAGGCCCACAACTGAAATGTTTTCGGCATATGATGCTGAAATTAAGAAATAAATGGGACTGAAAGGTTTGTTATTGTTTTCCTTGTAAATAAGATTAACAAAGTCATTAATTTATGATAGTAAACTATTGAAAAGTATAAATACAATTTCCCGCGGCCATTTTCAAAGAATACCCACAATGCATAGCACAGCTTCTCATATTTGTACCTGGCATTTACAAGAATTTGTATTAAAACTAAATATATAATCGTCACCTTTGATACATACCCAACAGAATGTAATGTAATAGATTATTATCTTAGATGAAATAGTATACCAATTATTTCTGCAACAGTATTAATATCAGACAACAATTAATTCTTATTTCTATTGCGTTCCGTTTCAGTATGAATGGCACAATATTAATTCCCATTATTATTATGACGGAGAACGCTAGATTGCGACGGTCCTGCACATTTTAACACAAATGACGTCATATGTGGGTTAGGGTAAGCATAGAAATATATAAATTATATATTTCTATGAGGGTAAGGACCTGCAGATTTCGTCAAAGTCTCGAGATGGAAGCAGGGCTAGCGTTAACCCTAACCCTGGGAAAAGCCTTACCCTGACGTCATATGTGCGGGACCGTCTCCGATCAAGCGGTCTCCTATTTTGACAAACACGTGTTCCTCTGTAGCAGACGGTTTGTGATATTATTATCATATTTGTTTTAAAAAGATGATTTTGACTCCAACAATCTATTCAAAATCGACTAGGCCTATTTTTGTTGCAAATGAGTAGACTAAACAACGACCTATTAAAACTAGCGAAACACGTTTCAGATAAGCTAGATAACCCCTCAGATACAGAATCGATAGGCCTACTAGATTTTGATTTTCGGTCAGATGGAAAGTCTGAACGACAGCTGCCCACGTCGACAGCACCGGTTGACAATTTCATAAAACCAAAACTCCTGCCACCAAAATCAAAGAAAACAATTGTATGTTTAAATCATAAAATGTCAAGTAGTGAAAAACAAAGTTCAGATGAATCTGACCAAGACGAACGGATTCCAGAAGATAAAAATAAAGTAAATGAAGTTGAGAAAATACCGAGGGGAACATCCACAAATTATATTGTTGGCTCTGGTAATGGTATGGAAGAAGTTATAATAGAAAACAGTAGCATTTTGCCGATTGATGACTTGTCTGATGAGGATGAACTATGGCTTATAATTGCACCCCAAGAATATAATGTGAAAAAACAGCACGTGGACATGACCTGTCGACAACAACTAAAAGGGGGAAAGTTTGAAATTCAGTTTTTCAGTCAGACTGGCAATGAAAATAAAATGATGACTCTGCTATCAGACAAAAATCAGTTTATCAATGGCCCATCATTTAAAGGGTGCTGTCAAATATCAGAGAGATTACAGACATTTTCACCTGTCTATCATGATAGTGTTGCTAAAGAAAATCCAATTCCTGAAGGTCTTAAGAAAAGATACATACCATTTGGAGCAAATGTTATTGAGAATGGGTTCGAAAAAGACAAAAAGGGAGGGATCCTATCAAAGAGATCTTCCAAACGAAAGCATGAGACAGAAAGTAAAGTTGGAGGCAAGAATTTGGCAAAAAAACAGGATTCTGAACCGAGTTCTGCTTCTCCTATTAAAAAAAAGAAAAAGAAAAGGGACCATGTTGATAGTTAATATGTATGTTTTTTTGTCCCCCGCCTTTCGAAGAAAGCAGGGGACTATTAAAATGGGTTCGTCCGTCTGTCTGTCTGTCCGTCTGTCTGTCCGTCTGTCTGTCCGTCCGTCTGTCTGTCTGTCACACTTTTTGGGACACAATAACTCTCTTCCTAATTGAGCTAGAATGTTCAAACTTGGTGTATGTGTTTATTAGGTCAATGCCTTGATGGAGTTCGAAGATGAGCATTTTCCGCTTAGGGTAAGCAGAGATAAGCAATTTGATTGGTTGATGCTTTGGGACACGATAACTCTCTTCCTAATTGGGCTAGAATGTTCAAACTTGGTGTATGTGTTGATTAGGTCAATGCCTTGATGGAGTTCGACGATGAGCATTTTCCGCTTAGGGTAAGCAGAGATAAGCAATTTGATTGGTTGATGCTTTGGGACACGATAACTTTTAATTGAGCTAGAATGTTCAAACTTGGTGTATGTGTTTATTAGGTCAATGCCTTGATGGAGTTCGAAGATGAGCATTTTCCGCTTAGGGTAAGCAGAGATAAGCAATTTGATTGGTTGATACTTTGGGGCACGATAACTCTCTTCCTAATTGAGCTAGTATGTTCAAACTTGGTGTATGTGTTGATTAGGTCAATGCCTTGATGGAGTTCGAAGATGAGCATTTTCCGCTTAGGGTAAGCAGAGATAAGCAATTTGATTGGTTGATGCTTTGGGACACGATAACTTTAGTTCTAATTAAGTGAGATTGATGAAACTTGGTGTATAGTTTCATTACAGTAATACCTTGACTAAGTTTGATAATGAGCATTTTCTGCTCAGGGTAAGCAGAGCGATACGCAATTTGATTTTTATATGTGTCCTCTAATTATTTTCCTATTTCGGCGGGGGACATCAGCCTCACTGTTGGCTTGTTAATTCAAGGTACCAGCTAGTGTTGCATAAAATATTGCTAAATTTGCAATATTCCCTTGATACTGTCATGTAAATGTGAGGTTTTTTTGTGATACAGACTTGACAAATTTGAATTTAAAAAAATGGCATCCTGTTGTCCTTTAACACTTGGCAAATTCCAGTACCGGTACAGTACATCTAGCCTCGGCTGTATGACGAAGTCCCCCATAGGAAATACTTTCAAGTTCCCGAATTACCAATGGTGTTACTTGCCCATGACGACACCTTTGAAGAATGTTTTATCATATAAATATTTCAAACTCTGAAGCTGTTTATCTTTCAAGTTTATCCGATTTTCTTCAAACATGCAAGGACAACTTTGCATTGAAATTTCTAAACACGCTTCGAACGATTCAATTTTGATAACTTAAACTTCTTTTTAAAAGTTTTCCTATTACGTAAATTGGTGCCGTATCGCAATTGTATAGGCGTAGGCACATATCACTTACCGTCATACAACAGAGGCTAGATGTAGAGTAACGGAATCTGCCAAGATTTGCCAAGTGGTCCTTTAACTGGGATTACTGTTAAAATGGGTCTGTCCATCCGGCTGTCTGTCTGTCCGTCACTTTTTGGAACACAATAACTCTCCTTCAAATTGAGCTAGAATGTTAAAAGTTCAGACTTTGTGTAGGTGTTTATTAGTTGAATGCGTTGATGGAGTTCGAAGATGAGCATTTTCTTCTTAGGGTAAGCAGAGATAAGCAATTTGATTGATTGATGATTTGGGACAAAATGACTTTGGTTCTAATTTATTTAAGTGAGAGTGATGAAACTTGTGTATAGTTTCATTACATCAATACCTTGAGTAAGTTCGATAATGAACATTTTCTGCTCTAAGTAAGCAGAGAGATAAGCAATTTGATTGGTCAAGACTTTGGAACGCAATAACTCTCCTTCTAATTGAGGTGCAATGTTCAAACTTGGTGTCTCCATCCTTGATGGAGTTCGAAGATGAGTATTTTATGTTTAGGGTAAGCAGAGATGAGCAATTTGATTGGTTGATGCTTTGAGACATGATAACTTTCGGCTCAGGGTAAGCAGAGTGATAAGCAATTTGATTGGTCGAGACATTGGAGCTTGACAACTTTGATTCTATTAAATTGAGTGATAGTGGTGGAACTTTGTGTGTAGTTTCATTACAACAATACCTTGCTTAATAAAGTTCGACGCTGAGCATTTGCTGCTTGGACAAAGTAGAGACTTCAAGCTGATTGGTAGAGACTTTGGAACACAATAACTCTCCTAATTGAGGTAGAATGTTCAAACTTGGTGTAGGTCAGTTTCTATTAGGTGAATGCCTTGACAGAGTTCGATCATGAGCATTTTCCACTTAAGCTAAGCAGAGATAAGCAATTTCATTGGTTGAGACCATGGTACACGATAACTTTGGTTCTAATTGGGTGAGAGCGATGAAACTCGAGAGTATAGTTTCATTATATTGATACCTTGACTAAGTTCGATGATGTGAATATTCTGCTTAGGCTAAGTAAGGAACATAACAACTCTGCTTTTAATTGAGGTAGAATGTTTAAACTTGATGTAGATGTTCATTAGGTGAATGTCTTGACTGAGTTCAATGATTAACATTTCCCAGTAAAGCTAAGCAGAGCTTAGCAATTTCATTGGTCGATGCTTTGGGACAAGATAACATTGAATTTAACTGATGGAGAGTGATGCGGCTTAGTGTATAGTTTCATTACCAGGTACTTAAAACCCTTGACTGAATTTGATTGTGAACATTTTATACTTAGACTAAGTATCAGTTTGATTGCTCAATACTTTTGAAAAAGATAAATGTGCAATTAATTAATGTGTCATCTATTTATGTTTGGGATTTTGATGGGAACATCATCCTCACTGTTGGCTTGTTGTAATTATAATGAAGACAAAAGTTGTAATTCAGTACTTCAATAAAAGACAGATCAAAATAGTTTTTACCACATTAAAAGACCGTCTAGTGTGGTGGTTACAATCAGTGCACACATCTTGTCAAACCTTCATAGGCTAATATTTTCGCTCAGAATAAAGTAATTTAAATGAAATATATTCATTTTACATTATCTATTTTTGAACTATTATAGCAAGAACAGCCAGCTCTTTATCTAAATCTTACATAATGTATCTTTAATTAAATACATGTATCACAAATATGACAGTGAATAGTATAATTAGTGATTGATTACTTCAGTTAAACAATGAGCTAAATCACTGAAAATTTCCTTAAATGTGATTGACGATTTCTCAATTTCCCAGTTCACCCAAAACTAGCATATAACCCAATGCTACCCAATATTACCATATAGTTACCACCCAGTATTGTCAAATGATAACCTAGTATCATCAGATAGCTGCATACCAGCATAATTTCTGCACTGAATCTGCAATAATTTGCAATTAAAGAAAAGTGGTTTGTGTATAACATTTTTATACGCCCACATTTTCATGTGGACGTATATTGTCGTCGCCCCTGTCCGTCCGTCAATCCATCCGTCCACAATTGTTTGTGAACAGTCTACAGGTCACAATTTTTATCCGATTTCAATGAAACTTGAAATATAGGTTTATCACCCTAAGATCTCGGTTCCTTTTGATATTGGCATATAGCGGACTGTAACTTCATGGATTATGGCCCCTGATTGTATGAAAAATCATGTTTTTAGCTTGTGAACACTGTAGAGATCACAATTTTTATCTGATTTGGTTTAAACTTGAAATGTATGCTTATAACCCACAGATCTCGGTTCCTTTCAATATTCACACATATCGGACCATAACTTCCTGAATTATGGCCCCTAATTGTACGAAAAAATGCGTTTTTAGCTTGTGCACGCCATAGAGGTCACAATTTTTATCCGATTTAAAAAAAACGTTACAATATATCACCGTTACACCCTAAGGATGGTTGAGTTCGAATTTCGTAAAAATCGAATCGAAACTGACTGACAAAATAGCCGCCCCTCGTTCGTAAATAGTGTCGAAATATTGTGTATCAGGGTTGTGGACCCTCTGGAGGTCACAATTTTCATCCGATTTGGTTTAAACTTGAAATGTATTTTTATAACCCACAGATCTCGGTTCCTTTCGATATTCGCATATATCGGACTATAACTTCATGAATTATGGCCCCTGATTTTACAAAAAATCAAGTTTTTAGCTTGTGGATCCTGTAGAGGTCACAATTTTTATCCGATTTAAAAATCGTTACAATATATCACCGTTGCACCCTAAGGATGGTTGAGTTCGAGTTTCGTAAAAATCGGATCGAAACTGACTGACAAAATAGCAGCCCCTCGTTCGTAAATAGTGTCAAAATATTGTGTATCAGGGCTGTGGACCCTGTGGAGGTCATCTGATTTGGTTTAAACTTGAAATGTATGTTTATAACCCACAGATCTCGGTTCATTTCGATATTTTTAGCTTGTGGACCCCATAGAGGCCACAATTTTTATCCGATTTAAAAAATTGTTTGAATATATCACCATTACACACAAAGATCTTGGTTCCTTTTGATAATCGCGGATACCCGAACTTAACTTCCTGGGAATTCTCAAGAGGTCACAAATTTTTTCCGGTTTTAAAAACCATTTAAATACATCACCATTCCACCATAATGAAGGTTGACTTCGTATTTTGTGAAAATCGAAATGAAACTGTCTGACAAAATGGCCGCTCTTTGTACGCAAATTGTGTAGAAGTGTGTAATTCGAGGGTTGTGGACCCTCTTAAGGTCACAATTTTTATCCTATTTTGATGAAACTTAAAACATATCTTCATATCCCAAAGATCTCTGGTCCTTTTGATATTTGCACATTTCAGGCCATAACTCTCTGGATTATTGCCCCTGATTGTACAAAAAATCACGTTTGTTTTTAGCTTTTTGTCTATCCATCTCTCGCAAAATGTGGGCGTATCCTGCCTGGCAGCCGCTGGTTCTTTACAATGTTACGTACATTGATTCATTTCGTTTCGTTGGAAAAGGTCCGGTATGTCTAATTTTTAAGCAGAACACAAAACGTGCGATAAACCAACGAATGTCCAGTAATCCAGTGACATAATTCTATTTTGTACGGCGCTCCTGTTTCAAAATTTCGGTAGATTATAAAATACACGTACGTATATGTTACAGGTAAGACTGAATGTGTCCCGAATATTTTTTTTTTCAAATCTTTCACTATATACTGTCGAATCAGCCGATCTTTTCAAGAACTGCCACACACAAATATAGATCCGAGATGGGTGTACGGACATATCGTCAGTATCGATGGGGCCAGTGATTCGCGTGCCAGTCCAGTATGAAAATAGTTGCGGGCTACTGCTGCACTAGTTTCTTTAGGAACTGTCTGGAGACGACCCCCGATGAAATCGTCCGATCACAGACAGTTCCAAAAAGAACTACTGTTGCACTAGCTATCAATATTTATTAATACCTAAGCTTACACACGAATATTAATATAAACAAATTTAATCCCATCTGATCAATACAACCAATATTAAAATCTAATCCTTTTTTAGCAATAGCTAAGTCCAACGTACGTCTTAGTCATTGACAGGTGATTTCACCAAGGTCCGCGCTATGCATTTTTCAGTGACCGCGTGTTAGCAAGGCACACCACGCGTACGGTACAGTATTTTGATTTTGGCGTTTTTAATTAGATCAATCACGGATTACGAGTAAGTGAGTAACCCAAATGTTTTAGTACTACCTAGCCTACATCTAGATTTGAAAATGTATAATTTGATTCAAAGAAATAAGGGGACTATTAAAATGGGTCTGTCAGTATCTGTTCGTCGCACTTTTCCGTTATCGGGACACAATAACTCTACTATTCTAATTGAGCTCGAATGTTCAAACTTGGCGTAGGCGTGTATAAGCACAGGGGTCTGACCTTCTATCCGTATGCATACACCATACACAACTATAGTGTGGCAGCCCAAGCCCTCGAACTCCAACGAAGGAGATGCCAATGTTCACCTTTATAGCAAGTTGCGGGTATTTCCTTGAATAATAAAAGTGGACGTCTGTCAGCATATATCAGGGGTCTGTCCGCAGTAGCCCCCTTAAACTGGCCCCTAAAAACATGTCTGGACCCAACATTAGAGGTACTGAGTGAAACCAATTTATACATGATGAATGAGGTGTTTTAATTATGGAAACGATAATGACAGACAATATTGGGGGTAACACCCCCCTGACAGAAATGCTCTAAAGGGGGGTCTCTATAGGTCTAGATCCAAGATTAGAGATACCAACTAAAAATTTGTCAGATTAAGGGCCATTTGATGGGAATTGATATATTCAGAAAATTTCTGTATTTAATAATCTGTACTGATAAAAAGGAAATTTTCTGAATTTGGCATCTGTATAATATATATGTAAAGATGTCACAATTCAGAAATTTTCTGAATTTGGCGATCTGTATAATATACGAAGCTCACAATTCAGAAAATTTCTGAATTTGGCGACCGGTATAATAATTAATATACGGAGGCTAACAATTCAGAAATTTTCTGAATTTGGCGATCTGTATAATATACGAAGCTAACAATTCAGAAAATTTCTGAATTTGGCGATCTGTATAATAATTAATAACGAAGCTCACAATTCAGAAAATTTCTGAATTTGGCGATCTGTATAATATATATGGACAGATGCCACAATTCAGAAAATTTCTGAATTTGACGATCTGTATAATATACGAAGCTGGCAATTCAGAAAATTTCTGAATTTGGCGACCGGTATAATATATAAATACGAAGCTGACAATTCAGAAAATTTCTAAATTTGGCGACCGGTATAATATACGAAGCTAACAATTCAGAAAATTTCTGAATTTGGCGATCTGCAATGGACAGATGCCACAATTCAGAAAATTTCTGAATTTGACGATCTGTATAATATACGGAGCTGACAATTCAGAAAATTTCTGAATTTGGCGACCGCTATAATATACGAAGCTGACAATTCAGAAAATTTCTGAATTTGGCGACCAGTATAATATACGAAGCTCACAGTCACAATTCAGAAAATTTCTGAATTTGGCGATCGGAGAGAGAGAAATGGGGTTTAACGTCCACTCGACACAAACTAAGTCATTTCGGGACTAACACATCGTTCAATTTCATTTCAATAATTCGCTTGCGCGTTGGGGTCTTTAGCAGTGGGAGGAAACCGGAGGACCCGGAGAAAACCAACGAAGTTGGACAGGCGACCCTACTCCTTGTCACGTACAACCGGGGAATCGAAACCCCGCCAGTTGACTTAATGACAGACCGTATGATACAGCGCGCGCTTGCTAACCATTCGGCCATCCAACCCCCGGCAAACTCTCGAAAGGCGAATAGGAATAACCGATGATGCCCTCTAATGGATAAAATCCCATCTCTCTGATCGTTTACCATCTGTCGTTTTCAACGGCATTGGGTCATCAAAGTCTGGCATTCCACAAGGATCCTTCCTGGGACACGGCATGCTGTTACACTCTACCTGTAGGAGATATAATTAGATTTCATTATACTATACTAATATTATACTAATCGCCAAATTCAGAAATTTTCAATTGTAAAGACGCCCATAACTGCTCCTGCCTCATCCCAAAAGCTAAGCTAGATCAGCACATTTACCATCCTCACGTGTATCAAAAGTGCCAAGTCTACAGATGATACTGACATGATCAGCTCTCGCCCATCTGATAATATTACATCCTTGAATGTTGAAGCGATATCAACTTCCACAATAGGTCTGTGTGTACCTCAAAAGTCTGCGGCAGAGAAAAATTCGAAAAACATAAAGTCTTAAGTGCATTTGGAAAAGGTAGATCTTGGCAACTGCAGACTGTGAAAGGGTTTTAGTTGACAAAATATTATATATAAAAAAAGCAAATACAGAAATTCAAATGAAAAATGGGTGAAAAAAAAATGGAACCCAGAGTGAGTACTGGTGCTAACAGTGGTGGGGTTCGTCAGGCGTCCATAATCGCTCATTTACTAACCACACGAAACATGTTGAAAAATGTTCAGCAAATTCACATATATTAACAAAGAA